TAGATTAATTTCATCCTGCTTAAATAGTACTATAATGTTACAGTTGTCTCGTATGAGCTGTTTTGGAATTTTAGAGTATGTTTGGCAGAGATATGCAGCATCGATATCTTTATGACGACACATGGAGTAATACTCTCGAATTTTCTGCTGACCGTCACACGACACGTCGTCAAATATGAATATAGAGCTATTTTTAGCCTTACTTGGACTTATAATTTCCTCGTTATCCTTAAATGGGAAATAGCCAACACCCTTAGCAGCGGAAATCACTTCTTGAAGCAGTTGATACTTTGGTTGATACAACGATTTTGAATAAACGTAAACATTTTTAAACTTAGCACCGTTTGGATGGAAAAGCAGCGCCAGCATTACGTTCGTTTTTCCACATCCGCTTGGTCCGCAGATGATAGCGCGAAACGAATTCGGTAACAATTTACCATGTTTACTATGTTGAGTTTTTGCTGTAAAATCCAAGTTATCAATGGGTAATGACTGCTCTTGTTGAACAACCTTCATCGTGTGGCGTTCGAATAAGGAATGTGTAAAAGTATATATGTAGATATTGCTAACGCATCATCAACAGTTCTCATGTTAACGTACAAGGGTGAAGGTGTTGTAAACTCTCTGATAAATAATCTTCCGATAGAACTCCACGTACCTTCGTATCAGTTCCTGGGACGTAAGTGTGCGACAGATTAGGATATATTTTTTTTTCATTCTCACACATGTATATGTATATTTTCAGCGGGGACTAAATTAAAGAAGAGGTTAGCACGAGGAGATCCTGGAAAGAACCCATTGGATCGTGCTGCAAGAGACCACGATATTGCATACGCCTTATACAAAAATTTGAAAGACAGACACAAAGCTGATTGGATTCTTGAGAACCGAGCCTGGGAACGTGTAAAAGCACCTGACGCTTCACTAGGAGAAAAGACTGCAGCTTGGCTAACAACCACCGCAATGAAAGTTAAGCGAAAATTGGGTATGGGGCAGAAGAAATCATCTTTTCGACGAGGTGTTCTCACGAAAATCACAAAGTCCTTGAAGAAAAATGCTCCCACCACCACGACATTAAAAAAGTCTGCATTGGTTGCTCTTAAAGCGGCAAGATTAGCGGTGAAGAGTGCAGGTGGAAAACATAAAGTTCGACTACCGAGAATAATTCCGATCGAAGGCAAATCTGGGGGATTCCTACCCTTGATCCCCCTTTTCGCCGGATTAAGTGCTTTGGGGGCGCTCGCAGGGGGAGCTGCAGGTGTGGCCAAAACGGTCGTTGATGCCAAGAATGCACAAAAGAAATTGGAGGAAGACCATCGCCATAACAAAGCTATGGAGTCTTTGGGCAAAGGATTGTATTTGAGAAAAAATGCTAAAGGTGGTTATGGGTTGTACCTCAAAAAAAAAAGTCAAAAAAACTAAACATCAAGCTACCCAAGAAAGCGCTTTATGATTATGAAATAAAGCAATATGCGAAGCTCTTGAACATACCTCATTTCCGAGGTGTCTTCATGCGTGACACTTTACCACGAGACGGTCCACGTAAAAGAGAATGCGCCGTCGTGAACTTAGATATTTCACAAAACAACGGAACTCATTGGGTAGCTTATAAAAAGATAAACAACAACGTTGAGTATTTCGATTCATTTGGTAACCTGAAGCCTCCACAGGAACTTGTTCGATATCTGAAAAACGCTAAAATTTTCTACAACAACGATCCTTACCAAACTTATAATCAAGTTAATTGCGGACAATTGTGTTTGAAATTTCTATACAATAACAATAACAACAACAACGATGGATAATAAAACATTATCGGAATTTACATTAGAAGAGTTTGAGAAGAATATTCCGCCGCTGGAATATTTAATAAGCAATGTGAGACCTGCAGAATTGTTGAGTATATGGCACAAACTGCCTGCAGAATACACATCCAATTTTGATCTTCAAATACGACTTCCATGCTATGTTCACTACAACAGACCTGATTGGACAACACATTGGGATGGACCGGCTACTGCTCAAGCAAATTGTTATTTCTGTAAATTATCCATTCGAAAATAAACAAAAAAAAAACTTGAATAAATGCTTAGTACACAGCTATATTTTTTCATTCATCATGTCGCAGTTGTTGAGAGTCAATAGCACTACTCATATATTTTCATTTCGTCCTTCAACACCGATAGTGTTGGATCCGAAAAAAGATTATGAATTGGCGCTTAGGTCTTTTACTTCATACAATTCCATACCGAATATTGAAAAAGGAGATAAATTTTATTATATCGACAGGATAGGTGGTCAATTAAAAGTCATCGAGTTTCCGACAGGTTGTTATGAAATTACCGACATAGAAACATTTATACGAACGCAAATGAATCTTGAAAATGAAGTTGCTCCTCCGGATGATTATTTTTCTCTAAAACCTAACAATAATACACTGCAATGTGAAATCTTTAGCAAGTATTATAAAATAGTTTTTACAGAACCGAATAATCTTGGTCATCTATTGGGATTCTCGAAAAAAGTTCTTAATCCTGGTCAAAAGCATTCTTCTGATTTACCTGTAAACATAATAAAAGTATCAACCATACACTTTGATGCTAACATTACGTCGGGAGCCTTTGACGGAGACACGCCTGCACACACGATCTACGAATTTGCTGTGACAGCCGATCCTGGATACGCTATAGTCGAAACACCTGTAAATTTACTATATCTACCTGTTATACCGAAACAAGAAATAACCAACATCACAGTGTTGGCTTTAGATCAAGACGGTCGTCCTGTAAACTTTCAAGGTGAAACTAGTACTCTTGTGTTGGAGTTGAGAGCGAAGCGCAGATGGGATTAGTGATTATAAGACATAGTGGTGCTTCCAAGGCAACTTCAGTATTACCCCAAGCACCTAAGCGACGACATCTACTACTAACTACATCAAATATCCTGTTTCTACGCTCACTTGGATATCATGTCAACAACAACAAGAATCATGTACAAAAAGAGAAAAACTGAGGAGGTAGCAGCAGCAGCATCACATACTTCTCCGATGTTTGATCTATATCGATCTCCAGCATTCGATGAATCTATTCGCAAGGCTGAGTATAGATCTTATACGCCGTTCATCAAGTCATTTAATTGTAATGATGTTGTGGAATTTAGCATCAATCAAGTAGATTCGTTCTTTGCAATGAACGCTTCCCTTCTATCTATCAAAGGAAAAGTTGAAATAACTGGAGGAGGAGCAGGAGATGTATCTTTAGCTCCAAACTTTGGTGCCTTCCTATTTGACTCTTGCACTTACAGTGAATCCGCTAGAGAAGTTGAAACAGTACGTGATCCTGGTATTGTAAGTACTGTCCGAGCTTACGTATGTTACAGTGAGGAAGACTCAAATCATATGGCTATAGCTGGATGGAACTATCCTTCAACACCTATAATGGCGTCAACACATAACAAGTCTTTTAGCTTGCTAATGCCGCTTAAACATATTTTCAACATTTTCAATGATTATCCTATGATTACGTGTGGCAGACAAACTCTCAGATTTGTGAGAGCTAGAAACGATAACGATTGTATCATTATCAAGGAAAAAACTGGAACGACGACGACGGCGACGACAGCGAAAATAACTATTGAAAGCATGGAACTGAAAATCAAACATATTTACCCGAGTGATGATGTGAAAGAACAACTTTTGAAAGCTATTCAAACTGATAAGCCGATACTTATACCGTTTAGAAAATGGGATCTGAATGAACTGCCTGCAATTACCGCAGATGCGAGAAGAGAAATATGGTCAGTTAAAACTAGCACCGCAATCGAAAGACCACGTTTCATTATAGTATGTTTCCAAACCGGTAAACGTGACGTCGCAACCTCAGACCCTACCCTGTTTGATCACGTGAATGCTGCTAGTATTCGAGTATCTTTAAATGGTGAATACTATCCCAACGAACGTATGCAATTGGACTTTGCAAACAATCACTTTACTGAAGCTCATTTCAACTATAGCGACTTTCAAACCAGCTATACAACTTCTTCTTCTCCTCTGAAGAGATGTCTTTTAGATTATACCGCTTTTAAAAATCGCGCTTTGTTTGTTATTGACTGTTCCAAACAAGAGGAAACCATGAAATCATCAACTGTTGATGTTAGATTGGATATCGAAGCCGATACTGGCTTTCCAACCAACACCAAGGCCTACTGCATCATTATACATGACTGCTTAATCGAGTACTTCCCCCTCACCGAAGTTATTAAAACCATCTCGTAAGCAACGAAGGACTCTCAGTTCCGCATCAGACATCATGAGGATCGCGTTTGTTGACATTCAAGGCTTTACAGTTGACGGATTATTCGTACCTAAAGAACTATGTATCGAAATTGGTTTCAAGAAAAGTCATTACATCTTTACACCTCTGCAACCTTTTTCTACATTAAATACTAAAGACAAGAAAACTGTCGCTTACTTGGAGAAGAATTTCCATGGGCTTAAATATTCTTCCGGCGACGTTAAATATTCCAAGTTAAATGAAATAATTAAAAATAAGGTGATATATGCGGCTGACTATGTCTACGTTCGTGGAGAACAGAAAGCAAACTTTTTACTCAAGAAATGTCACATTTTTGGTGTTTTTCCCAACATTATTGATGTTTGCAAGTATGATGGTACACCGTGTGCTACTGGAAACTTTGTTGCTGATTCCAATCCATGCCACACCAACGGACAATTTTCCTGTACCCAGAGAAATGTTGAACGTCTACGCCACTGGTTTTCAAATATCATATTACCTATGTAGTTTTTTTCTATTTTCAATAAAATATTAAACGTATTATTGTAGTTTTATTGAAAATACCTCTGGTTTGCGAAATAATTGTCAGAATGTCTATACTATTTTCATTTTGAACGGTATCATCCTGTATAATAATAACAGTACATCGTATACAGGTTATGAGACATTCTGACCGACCGACCGACCGACCAGAGGAGCCCACCACGCTATTTAGGTCACGCCTTGCTATATACGATTTAACGATATACCGTCGGTCCATCGATCCGCTATTTTTCGATGCACCCCTGTATACACGTTGCCCCCCGTAATCCACGCCAACACCAGACAGGTGCGACATCGGCGCCATCTATGCGCGAGATGCCCAACCCATCAATGGCAGCTGTCCAATGACGCATAGATTCCGTTAGGTTTGTACACCGCCAAACAAATCTACGCCATTTATGCGCGAGATGCCCAACCCATCAATGACAGGTGTCCAATGACGTATGACAGATGACGTGTAACGCCATCTATGCGTGAGATGCCCAATGACGCATGACAGGTGTCCAATGACACACAGATTCCGTTTGGTTTGACAGCGCCATCTAGCGGCGGAATCCCCAACTCATGATTACAGATTCCGTCCAACAACCTGTCAATGGCGCGCGACGCCAGCGCCTCTGGTGGCGGATTTTGGAACTTTTGAGACCGAATCCCCATAAGACATCTACTTACTAGCATAAAGAGCACCAAAGAATTGAATATTATGTAACTTTCTTAGCTATCTCCAATAACAACATAGATTTTTTGCTAATACTCTTCTATTGTGTTTCGGTTCAGAATTAAATGACATAAAAACAAAATCAAGCCATACTTGATCTAATTATCATAGAATTTGATTCACATTTTATTCTTACCAGTTCCAGGAGGTCCTTGAATCAAAGAAAGAGGTCTTTGCAATGCGTGTTTCACAGCATAAACTTGCGATCGATTCAAATCTGGCAGATTCGGTGCAGAGAAATGCTTTGGTAAATGACATCTGAACAGAACTTCCTCCACTTCGTGTCCCAAAAGTCTATGGTAAATGTATGCAGAGACGGAAGAATCATCCACGGCGAATTTTCTCAATGCCAATTGCATCCTGTAAGAAAAACAGACGTCAAGACAGACTGAATCCACGGATGCAAGTTTGCTAAGAATATACATAACAATGGAAATTGAATGAATCAAGTCAGTCAAACAGGCCCATACAGTTAGTAGTAAGACTAACCTCGCCATCTGGCTAGCCACTCATTGCTCAGCCTTGAGACAGATATATGAAATGGTACATATCTCCCTAGGTTTGTGCGTGTATTTAAAATATTACACTATCACTTCAAGTTCTGAGGGCAAATGCAGGGGAAAATCTATGATGTGTGAAATATGTGTACTAGGTGCGTAGATTTACTGAGGTTAGAAGAGTATAAAAATATACTAGCGCGCCAAACAATTGTGATAAGTCCTCCTCCCTCAAAAAACCCAAAAATGATCAGAAGTCTCATGGAGCAGTTTTCGTGTTCTATCCGTCAGAGCCCAGCCGAAAAAACTACTAAGCTTTTTGACCTTGGCAGAGTGGCAACCTGGTATCAAAATTTAATCAACATCTGAGTGGTACTTCCCAAGTTACAGCAGCGACAAGGATTAGCAGACTACATAATACTCCTAATACAATTTCCATATTTTTTTATTGTTTTGCTCCTATTTTCAGTAAACTTTCCACATTTCCTTACCGATCAAAGCTGGTGCTTTTCCATATAAAATCCACCACAAAATTGCTATTACAATCTACAGGTGCTCCAGAACCATTCTTCAGCTCTATACCAATATCCTCTCCATAATTATCCGGTACTTTAATGACGTGTCCCACTCCGCTCCAGGACTTGTGCATCTCCCCAACATACCGCAGCTTCAACTCGTCTCCATGCATCAGCTTCATATCGCCGTCGGTCTTCGCAAGTGTGAAGTAAGCGATTGTCTTCTTGTTCAAACCAGTGTCCCATCGCACCTCAATGTTTTCCTGAGTCTGGGACTCCTTTAGACGTTTGTCATAGTCAGCTTCCAGTTTCACCAAAGGCCCGAAGATGTTTTGGTATTGGTAGCCATCTTCATATCTTAATAAGACCTGAAATTTGAAATAATGGATTCATTCAGAAAATTTACACGTTCGGTATAGTTTGGAAGCTGCACATCACAAACACTCCAAAACTATCAACTTACTTGTTGTGGTTCTTCATCAACACCAGGTTTCTCCAAATCCTGGAAAGTTGCATCAATGTTCTCTTTCCACAACTCTTCCAGTTTATTGATTTGTTGAGCCGATATCTGTCTTGCACGCAGCTGTTCTTGTTCTGAAGGAATTTTTACTAGCCAAGTCAGGAAGCATCTGTCAGAGATAAGAGGTTTCCATTGATCTTGGTCCCAGTTCATGTCCTAGAAAAATAAACTTGTATAAAAACTGTGCTTTTATAATAATTTAGGGCTGTATTATATTTTAATTGCTACAGTACCTTCAAAGAGTTTTGTGCAGCGCATGGTTGCCTGCATAGCAGTACAACAACTGAATCTGCTTTAGCTGGTATGAAGCCAAGAACAAAAACGTTACGAACTCCACAGCTGTAACATTCAAGAACAGTTTCTCCCAAAGGACCATCTTTGTGAAGGGTTACTTCCTTGTGTTTTGCTCTCACCTAAAAGTGTCCATAATTAAATATTTTTTCACAAGTTCAATGCATGTATGAAAAACTTCACTGTTTCAACATTCCTAGTATTATTGAGATTAAGTCTTGAATCACAATTCAAGTGATAATACATATACCTCAAATTGTTCAGACAGAACAAATTCTTGATTTCAAGGTAGTAAACATAATTTGAAGATTCTAGATACAATGAGTCCTGTCATATATCAAAACTTATGTCTCCAACCATTTCATATACACACGATGAAGAATTTTATTTTTATTAACATACCAAGTGGTTGATGATATGGCTTCCGCTAGTGTTTCCTCTTCCATTGCAAAACCACTTCTTGCAAAGATTGCACATAACCACACAATTGGGTTCATGGATACCACAATATTTGCAGGCATAGTCAGGAAGTTCCTTTGCGTTAAAATAGCCCTCTTCATCTTCTTCTTCAAACTGTAGCTCTCCAAGAGCATTTGATGTTGAAGCTAATTTCTTCTCAAAACTGTTGTTTATCTGCATATAATGAGCAAAATAAGATTCAAGAAGAATGAAAGTGAAATTCTACTAAGAATGAAATGTTTAAAAGTTCCTTTAAGCAATTTCATAAGCTTTGAGATGTTGTCAAATATAAATGTTGAGCTTCAAAAGCATTATGTGGAATTCAGAGGCTGACCTTTTATCACCATATCCTATTCACAATTTCATACAATCTGAACAAGAAACAGAATATCAAGTACTTCTGACAGTACAATTCATCACAAACAACAGCATTATAGAACAAGTTTATCTTCAATTTTAACTTCAAAAGGCATTTAAAAAAATATCTAATAGAAAATTGTAGTTTATATCCAAATGTTTTCTCTGTTAGCACATTGCTATGCAATAAAGATCATCATCATCATCTCATTGGACAATGAAATGATTCAACTCCAATCTTCGTGGAATCAAGCCTGGGATGTAAATCAAAACTGGTTTGGAACCATCTAGAATCTAGATCCATTTCCAGTGTATTTGTAATATAAGCACACATTACATATCCATTACGAGGGATGTCTTTTAAGTTTTGCATATAGAAACATAGTATATAGTAATCTTAACCTCACTCTTTAGTAAACTTAAATTCAAAGTTTCGCAACAATACGTGTAGTGTTCGCACAACAGTGAATTTTTAAGTGACACCAAGTCATTAGAAAAATGGAACACAACCGAGAACATTTTCGCGCCATAATTTATTACAACTTTCAGAGACAATTATCGCAACAAGAATGCCTTGCTGAGTTACTGTCTGTTTTCGGCAATGAAGCGCCATATCAGTCGACAATTTCCCGTTGGTATGGAGAATTCAAACGTGGTGAGTCTTAGCGACGATCCCAGTGTGGGTGCACCCAGGAAAACGTCGATGCTGTGCGCAAACTCATCACATAGGCATGTGACATATCGCTAGGTTGAGGCGTCCTTGAAGATCTCAAAGACCTCAATTCAAAAAATTTTACATGAAGAATTAGGAGTAAGAAAATTAGTTTCTCATTGGATACCCCACCTGTTGAAGAGCAGAAAGCAGCCAGGGTTAATTGGTGTCAAAAAACGCTTGACCGTTTCAATTCCGGAAACTCAAAAAATGTGTACAGCATTGTTAGTAGTGATGAATCGTGGATTTACTGTTATGAACCAGAAAATAAACGACAGTCGGCTGTTTAGGTGTGCCAAGGTGAAGAAAAGCCAACAAGTCATCTGTTCTCGAAGTGTTTCGAAAAAGATGGTCGCGACATTTGTGTCAAAAGCGGGTCATATTGCAACAATTCCTCTTAATGAGCAAAGAACTGTTACTGCAGATTGGTATACCACCATTTTTTTGCCAAAACTCATCACCGAGCTTCGAAAAATCAACCCCGAAAGAAGGATCATCCTTCACCAAGACAATGCAAGCTCGCACCAAGCCCAAAAAACAAGGCAGTATTTAACGGAAGAAATCGTGGAATTATTGGACCATCCTCCATATAGTCCCGATCTAAGTCCTAACGATTTCTTTACTTTCCCGAAAATTAAAAACAGACTGTGTGGTCAAAGGTTCCACTCACCAGAAGAAGCAGTTGACGCATTCAAAAATGCCATTTTGGATCTGCCAGCAAACGAGTGGAATAAGTGCCTCGAAAATTTGTTCGAGTGCATGCAGATGTGTATTAATCTTCGTGGAGAATACTTCGAAAAACAATAAAGACATTTAAAACTACCTACCATGTTGTTTTATTTCCATATGCAAAACTTAAAAGACATCCCTCGTACAGCATTAACTGACACAGGTTTTTTAACATCGAGATTCAAGTCTAATACAGATCATACTGCAATAAACTCTGCATGAAAAACTCACCTGTATAAAACTTAATGAGGACATACTTTTGCATATAACTATACAGAGAGAAGATAAAATTCAATAATACATAAACTGTATAGATATGAGTTTTAATTTAAAATAATGCCTAGAGATATAGCTTATAGGTGAATGATGTATGTTTAAATAAAAAATATTGATATGAGCATACTCAATACCCATTATCATATAAATATATTTCACAATTTATTTAATGAACATCCATTGGATTGGGTATACACCAATATACAAGATACTATATCCTGATTTGAGCACATATTATCTACTTTTAGGAGCTGCCATATATTTAATAGTAAGGCCACAATAGGTGGCAGGTGGTAGGTGACAGCTCATGAGTGATGATCCATTTACATTTTTCAGTGTCAATTAAAATATTACTAACGTGATTATTGCCATGCAAAGTTGCAAGATGGGTCAGATAGAGTTAAGGTATACTGTCATACTATTTTCCTTGCACTCTTGCATTGTTTTACTATCCCACACAAAGTGTACTGATTAATAGTAGCATAATTAACAATCTGTTTAGTAATGGTATAAATGTCATTTGAATAAGGTACATATAAAAGTTAAATTGTTGTTTGGCACTGGCTAGTTTCACAGTTAAAGATAAATTTATATTCCCCAAAAAATACCTAAAGATTTGATTCTCCCCCAAAAGAATTCCCCAGAAAAAAATGCCCCTCAAAAATTCTGATTGTAAAAATCTCCCATATTAGGGGAAAATCCCCAATCAATATGGAAACATGTTTGCCGCGTCACTGGGTATCATTGCCCATATCTATTACATTTTGCAGATGCTATTGGTAATTCATGTTACGTATAAACAGGTACATTGAAACTAATACAAAAGCAAGCAGCATTGTGCATCTCCTATCACCCTCTTCACTTGATTCCTTTTGCCATAATTTGTCTTTCTGACTAGCTGAGTAGCTCTCATTGAGGTATAAAATTGCCAAATATGAATTTCAAAATGGTAACCACAGAATATTCCACAAAAATATTTCTAATTTTTATTTGATATAACATCATCCCTTTATCAGTAAATTTCATAATATTTTAACAAATTCTGAAAGACATATATCACCTGTCTGGAAGAAAAATTACATAAGACTTCAATATTGAGAAAACGAGCTTTAAAGTTCCTATCACTATGTTATTGCTGCAACTTTTGAGTGGTGACACAAGCATAGAATTGAAAATCTAGAATGTCATACTGGCTCTCTTCAAGTAACTCTTGACATACAGTCACTGAATGAAAAATTAAAACCAACTTTTAAAAAAGTTATTTTTCTTTTAAATTATTGTAGTAAATGCAAACAGGTAGTGTACAAGGTGACACTATTGAAATATGATGTTTTAGCACACATACAGCTATTTCACACTCAAGACAGAACTAAAGATGTGATGCTATTCTTGTTGCAGATAGGAATCTAATAGAATAGTGACACTTTTACTGTTTGATACTCAGATACAATAATCATGAAAAAAACTCACAGATATACCACATGTAAAGTATTTTTCAAGTATTAATGATTTGTCATTATCTGTAAAAAGTTAATTTGATAATTGGTAAAGTTGTATAATATTGATTAACATTTTGTTTCATAAACATAATGTATAACAAATAAAGGCTCCAATACAAATTGTAACTAAATTGAGTTTGTATTTCACCTAATGGTAGAAATCAAGCTACTTCCTCCTTGAATAAGCAATACAAATCAAGTCAAATTTTTCTTTACCTTTGCAGAATGAAGAGCATCTACAAGAAGTTTATTTCCCCTGGAAACAAGTTGGCCCTGGGGATATAAATGTCTCTTGCATTGTAGTTTTTTAGTGTCTAATGAAATAATGTTGGAATAAAGCGCTATATAAATCAGAAATAGCTGATATGATCCTACATCAATGAGTAGTGTATTAAATGTAAGGGATCGTGACTGTGTTACCAGGGTGCCAGAAATAACTACCAAATTATATCAATGTTTTCAAAACATATATTTTAACAGATTTTCATCATTTTCTCCACATATTACTTTCTCCAAGACTAACTATATTCCATTTTTTAAGACCAAACGTATTTAGGAAAGATATATGTTAGGCATGTTATGTAGGTCCAAATAAATGACCTTGGTACTAACCTGTACACCAGTAACTTTGGGGCCTGCATGATCATGCTGGGAGGTCTGCGTTTGAGAGGGAATTGTAAAATCGGTGAAATCGCATTCTGATCCCTGGGTGTCAGCCCCTATCAGGTCTGCATCTTCGGTGTCCAAAAACGTGAGGGTTTGAGAACTGGGCCCATACGCGTCCACACTCATGTCTTCCAGTTGGGAATACTCGCTTTTCGCTAGCCGCTCTTATTTTGCTTGTTTAGTTGTACTCAGTGTGCTTGAAATTGGAAAAACCCGAGAATGAGTGACAGTGAATGAGTAAATACGATTTTATTTTAAAATTACTTCACTTACGACAGCAGGCGCCATTTCTGATTACTCATTTGTTTTTTGATTGACGTTTCGACGTTTGACGCTCGTTTCCGGTTGTGTCGTGTTCTAGAACAGGCGGGAATTTTTGAATTGAAAAGAGTATAAGCTTTTTTGGCAATAAATTCTTTTGATTCTATTTATCTACGATTTAGAATAATCACAACATTAACTGAAGTGGAATTAAAAATACATCTCACTGATTTTTCTAAAGTTCCCTTATAAAAAGCACAAGACTCATCATAATAGTCCCAAATATATCTTTTCAGCATAACGGTAATTTTGTATCGGTACACATAACCGGAATATCTTTAATATCAAAGTAAAAAGAACTTTCAATATTTGAAGATTATTTGTTTAAAATGTCTGCTGTTTTTGCAGTCAATGATGTGGTGTATCATGGAATTCCAATTTTCAACGAGTTCGAGCATTTGGCGACTGTTATCGCGCCAGGATAATACATTATGGCATTTACTGCCGAAAATTCAAGGCCATACGATCTCCAGAGTCCAGAATATTTGGTTTAAACTGGACGGCGCGGCTCTACTTGCAGCATATAGCCCGTGAAATCCATCGTTTTACCAACTTTGCTATACCACAATTTTGCGAGCAGCTAATTTCTTGTTTCCTGCCGTCTTGTGTTAGTCCTCATTCTCCAAGCTTTTTTCTGCACACCCGTTGCCAATCCAAGTTTTAATATTTGGAATTAGCCTTTCACGTCCATGCACCCTGACCAGTTGCATACTATCGCATCTGTCCTACCATCCGACAAAAACCGCGTCTTTTTCGTCACTTCTAACCTTGGCGTCCTTTTTATAGAGCGCTCATTTTCTTTCCTCAGCAAGCAAATCAGTTGGAGGGATACCAGCTACCACCAGTAATGCACCCGAAGACACCGTTATGTGTAGGACACTAGCTGCCTATATTTTTTCTTCAAAAGGCATCCCAGTCAAAATCCTGCGCCTCTCACTACTGAGCCCTCAATCATTAGCATTATCAGAATGCGACGACATTATTTACCTTGTCACATTTTGTCGAACCACACACTATACCACACAATATAATTGTGGCTATGGATCATGGAATTCTCAACCTCAACATTCACAGGAGTCTGCTCCTGTGTGCCAGAGAGTATGACCACTTCCGTCTACATCAGGATCTCATTATCAGGCAAATTACCGGCAGCATCTACAGCCAAAGAACTACATCGAAGAATACGTTCCAAAGCAACGGCCCTAGGACGGAAACCTGCGGAACTCCCATAATTGCCCTCTCATTAAAATGCGTTATGGTACGTCCTGAAGAACGCCTATCGTATAAAAATACTACAAGCCCCTTCCCACTTCAGTTGGCCCAACTATTGAAATCTTAGTTTTTTTCTTATCAAACACAAATAATAAAAATGTAGCAGGGTGTAAAATATTAACAATGAATATTTTGATAATATATAGTAGAAAACATCAACTTTATCACTCCCTAATCAAATTTGCAGCAAAGAAATAACACATGTTGCAATTACAGCATATCAACATATTTTCATTTCAATGCAAAAGAAGTCTATAACGCATAGGTGGCTGTGAAAAAATAAAAGCTATGACAATTTTTTTTATTAATCACAGCTGTCAGAATACCTTTAAAATAGTTTTGGGTAGAAGAAAGGTTATTAGTGAGAAAATTCGGTTACTGATAATTAAATTTTTTAATTCTGGGAAATCAAACTCAGAAATTGCAACTTTGTTAGACTTATCGCGGTACAGTGTGAGAAATATTGTTATAAGATATAACGTAACTGGTTCAGTTAATATTAAGCCACGATATGTGAAAAAAAGTAATATCACAAATGCCGACCGAAGAGCATTAAGAAGATTAATCGTGAAAAACAGGCGTGCCAATTATTTACAATTAAGTGCTCTGTGGAGTGACGCTATTGGAAGGAGAATTTCGAGGTCCACAACTCATAGAGAGGCCCACAAACTGGGATTTAGCACTTGCAAGGTAAGTTTTCTTATAAAAAAAAGTGAAGTGAAAACCCTAAAGTTTCACAACTTGTTTATAGGCCAAAGAAAAGCCACTATTAACTCCACTACAAAAGAAAAATCGGCTTAGATGGGCTAAAGAACATAGACAATGGACACCTCAACAATGGTGTGCAATACAATGGAGTGATGAGGCCCGATTCGAAGTTTGTGTTGGTGACAGTCGCAGTAGAGTTATTCGCAAAAAAATGAAGCATTCCATGTTGACTGTCTGAAGAGAAAACTGAATTTTTCAGCATCCATTATGGTCTGGGGCAGTATGTCATCAAAAGGAGTAGGAAAACTTCATTTTATTGATGGAAATGTGGATACAAACAAATATTTGGCAATTTTAGAAGAATCGCTTTTACCAGTGATGGAAGAATGTTTGACATCCGGCCAAGATTTTGTGTTTCAGCAAGATGGTGCAGCGTGCCATACCTGAAAAAAAGGCTATAAAATGGAAGGAAGAAAATAATGTACCACTTTTGAAATGGGTTTCTAGTAGTCCAGATCTGTCACCTATTGAAACTTTGTGGCACGAGATGAAAAAGGTTCTACGACAACATCCTGCTCGTACAATCACCGAACTGAGACAAAAGCTTCAAGAAGTATGGGGTTGTTTTACACCAAATTTTTGCCAAAACTTGGTTTACACTATGCCCCAAAGAATTTCAGCCATAATAAAAAATAAAGGTGATGTTACCCAATGGTAATCTTTCAATTGTTGCTTTGTTAACTTCGCGCATTTATTCGCACATTGTTTATTTGTTCAGATGTTCTATTAGTTATAGGTCTAAGGCCCATATCGTCAGTCGTCCCTACAATTATTGTAGGGCGCGTTCATGGCCTCCTTGATTGTCATACTTCTTTCTCTCCTTCAAAAATTTCTAGATTACACTGGTCCCGTGTCAGCGTCAGCGCTCTCCTAGTGTGAAGATATGTTTTCTTTTTAAATTGTAGGAAATTTCAGGCTGATAAAACATGATATAACTCAAAAGCAAGCACAATTTGATGCAAATAGATGTTTGTGACATAACCTCAAAATAGAGCGCTGACACGGAGAAGTAGAAAACTATGACAATCAAGAAGGCCATAAAGGCGCCCTACAATTGTAGGGACGACTGACGATACGGGCCTAAGTGATTTCAAATATGTATTTTTTACGACTAGAATATATCTAAAATGTTTTTGAGAAAATAAATTGTTTTAGAAGTAAATAGTTTCGTCATGCTTAGTTTTTAAAGGCATATTTTGGTACAAATCTTGAAGTGGGCCAACTGAACTGGGAAGAGGCTCGTACACTATAAGTGACACTAATGAATAATTATCTTATTTACTGCCGCTTTAACCGTCAAGTAGAACCCACATTGAACCGAGGTTTGTAGATAAAGTGGTCGTAAAGAAATAATTATGCTTAATAGTCATTCTCTAGTACATCCATAGGGCTGTTCTTCAACAAATACGCAGCAGCTATGTGATAAATGACTGATTTGCTACCTACCAGTCTTCAGATATAGGTGAAATACTAGAATGGCACTGACTCTTCGGGACATCTTGGGAGATAAAACATTCATAATCGCCGAAATAGGACAAAATCACCAAGGCGACATAGAAACTGCTAAGAAACTGATAAAAGCAGCAAAGGTAAAATGCAATACAATTTTTTAACATCTTCTAACCGATATTTATAGTGGCCGATAGGAACAAGGTATGCTTTTTTATCGGCAGTGCAAAATGGGTATAAGATTACGATTTACGATGGTTCGTTTATTGAAGTTTTGGTTTTTAGATGAACCATCAAAGAGAATAATGCATGCATTCCATGTTAATGTTTTTCTCCAAGAATAATATATTGTTGCACGCCAGACGTAAAAATATGGAAAGAAGTTCATATATAAGTATGGGTCAGGACATATGATGTTTCCATGAAGCGGGGTGTTTAAACTTCCGCCAGTCTTTGTTAAATTGTAAACATCTAGTTTTTGACTAACTGATTTTGCTTGGAAGTGTATGTTGAAGCTTTTATTAAAAAAGGTGCAATCCTTATTATTGGTTCTTAATAAAAAATTAACCATATCAGTACTGTACTGTACTCATCTCAATATGTCAATCACTGTTTAAGATTCACGAAATGTAAGATAAATTATCTAAGATGGTCATGTTGTATTATGAAAACAAATCTTTTCCGAACCGAGGTTTAATATGACCTTTTATTCATATTTTAACGAGCTGAGTTTGATATACAATTTTTCTGACAGCCTGGACAACATTCTGTAGCAGCATCTGTATTTGTTTTTTCACAGGAATGCGGTGCAGACTGTGCGAAATTCCAAAAAACCAACCTATCAGCAAAATTTACCCAAGCTGCATTAAACAGACCCTACAAATCAGTAAACTCATTCGGAGAGACATATGGAGAACACAAAGCATTCTTGGAGTTTTCTGAAAACGAGTTCAAAATACTGCAAGAATATGCAAAAGAAATCGGAATCCTATTCACAGCTTCTGCTATGGACATAAAGTCATTAGAATTCTTAGTTGATATTGGAGTTCCGTTCGTGAAAATAGGCTCGGGAGATGCTAATAATTTTTTACTGATTGAGGAGGCAGCTAGGAAAAATATTCCGCTCGTTATTTCAACAGGTAAGATTATTATCTAGTAGAAGTTGCTTCCCACATTTGAATTTTGGACTTTGACCAGTCTGATTTTGGGCATTGATTAGTCAATAGTTTTTGCTCATCTTACATCACATTTAGACAAATTCCAAGAATTGAACGGTTTTTATCTTATTTTTCCTCATGGTCACTTCCCTCCTTTGAATTTGGCAAAAATATGAGGCATTTAGTATAACTCGCTCGGAGGAAATACTTCCTGTTCAATGTGTCCGAGCTTAATATGTTTAGAGACATTTTTTGACATACATTTTTTGGTTTATAATGTAGGAATGCAGTCTTTTGAAACAGTGAAGTGGATCTACGACACAGTCTCCAGATATAAGAAGAATTTTGCTTTACTGCACTGTGTCTCAGCATATCCTACACCATTTGAAGATATTAATCTAAGAGTGTTGAAGCTTTATCAAGAGGAGTTTCCAGATATTGTGATAGGGTACTCAGGACATGAACTTGGTATTGACATTTCTGCAGCTGCTGTAGCACTTGGTAGCAAGGTCAGATAATTAATATTGCGTCAAACTGATTTTCATTGGACATCTATCATTTCATTTCTCATGCTAAGAATAATAATTATAATCCAAAATTAAATCCAGGATTTATTTTTTTGGATGTTACATAACATGCATTACATCACAAAAAATGTACTTCTCAAATTTTGACAAAATGATGAAAAAGCTTTTAGGTCCTGAAAGTCGGACCAGTGATGGTGGAGTTATATGCGAAAAATATGAGAGTGCCCAAATTTTGTTTTTGGAGTTGAAAAAAAAAGCCAAATTCATGTATATCATCATATAGAAAGCACTGAGACAATATACTTAATTCCATTTGATATAACAGATATGATGAAAATTAGCTTTGATATACTCTTTTTCAGATCATTGAACGTCACATCACACTAGACAAACAGCAAAAGGGATCAGATCATAAATGTTCACTAGAACTATGCGAGTTTAAGCAATTGGTTACCAATATAAGGAACCTAGAAAAAAGTCTTGGACAAACAGTCAAGAAGATTCAACCTTCTGAAATGGAATGCTTCCAAAAATTAGGGAAAACAATAGTATACTCCAAGGATTTATTAAAAGGGCATATGTTAGTCTATGGAGATTTGGACATTAAAGTGGCAGAGCCTGGAGGGGTAGATGGAAGTGAGATTAATAATATTTATGGGAAAATACTAAATACACATGTTCTTATAGATGAAAACTTGCAGTTGGAGCATCTGGTGACTTAATATTAGTAAAAACATAGTTTCCAATGATCTTTTTAAATTATACCAAATCTAACATTATGTATATCTTCTTATTTTTTTAAGATTTTGAAATATACAGAAATAAATGTATCATAATACATAAGATTATACATTTTAATTAATTAATGATTTTTATTCTTTCCAATTATAGACCAAATTGAATTAGGACAAACTTACTGAATCTGTCACATTAAACTAAATCCAATAAAGCTTCAAAATTGATCACCTAAAAAAGATAAAGAAACTGCTGCGAGTCTGGAAGTTATCAGGTACAATTTGAAAAAATAAGTACTGAAAATTGTTTAATATCATATTTATTCAAAAAAGTAATAAATCTAGAATCTTCTTAAATCTATTTTTTTCTTTCATATTTCCAAACATAAATAGGTGCCTGATCTTTAGTACCTTTTTTAACCCTTTTAGGCTTCAACACAGACTTCTTATTCTCAATAGCTTTTGCTGTTTCCATCTTCTGTTGCACAATAGCTAGTTCCCTCTCCCTTTCTATCCTCTTGCTCAACTCCCTGTACAAGGCTTTCCTTTTCTTTGCAGACTCAGCCAAAGTGTTTTCATCCACATCTGGAAGCTCCTGTTCCATCAAATGCTGCAAAGTCCGCTCTTCAGCTTGTTTTTTCACTTCTTTGTCATAGTAGATGTGTTTATTCTTTTTTAATACATCAACACTAGTAAGGTGTAGTTCAGCTTGCAGTTTCTCGATCTTTTTCAGTTCTTGAGTTCGTTTAGTGACAATGTATTTCAAATCCTGGGTTCGCATAAGTTGATTTTGGTCTGCAGTGTCCTCGGGTTCGGTATCTTTCTCAAAATGCCTTCCATCTTCGATTTTCGAATTAATCATGTGGTGATAGAATTCATCGGGATTTTTGTTTAGAGCTCGTTTGCGGAGAAGTTTTAGCGTGGCTTTCTTTTCATTGTAGTCTTTCGCTCGTCGTTGGTAATCTTTCTTTTTTTCTAGTAAACCCAAGTGCTGGCGGTCTTCAGGTTGGTGACGCTCCTTGTGCGTTTTCTGATGTGCCTTTGCGGCTTTTTTCCACACAGACATGTTTATTTAAATGTAGAATAATAAAACTAGTTTGGTAAAGTTTTCCAATCTCGTTAACTCAAAAATTTAACCTACAAATAACTGACAACCCTGTCAAGTTTTTGACAGATCTAATTAACCGGCTAGTCAGAATTGTCGAATCAACAAAAAGATGCCTAATCATGTTAAGATAGGTACCAGTGAAACCACACCCCTTTTTCAGGTCAGAAAAATATATGGAGAGTAATCCACATTCCCAATTCTCGTTCGTCCATCTATATTACGTCATCATGGCTATCCATCAAACTGTCAGTTTGATTATTGTACCATTTGTGGTTATTGTTTTGTTGATAAAATAATTTTAACCTAATTGGATATTTTCTCCCTTCTTTCCAAGAAATATGACTGTGTGTGCAACATAATACTATTTGTAGATAGTTATAGGTACATATTTAACTTTTGGATGATTTAAGTTCCATAGGAATCACATCTTTGTTTTAAACATGTCAAGGACCCATATGAGGCCAGTTTTTGGCCATAAACCGTCCTGCTGTATCTCTCAGAGGCTCACAGAAAGGCTGAACCGAATAAGGGCCATGAAATTAGAACTAACTAGAAAACCAGAAAAACCTGAGGATTTTATAATGTATGATGACAGTGATACCGAAGAAGAACCATACTATGTACAAAGAGAGATATTGAGCACATCATACAACTTTGTAGATTACATACGAAATAGAGAAATCCAGAATAGTAAATTATCTTCTATCGTGAGTGATTATGGTAGTAGGCACATCTTAACCCATGAGATGTTCCGTGAGACACCAATTAGCTTAGGAAACATGAATAAAGTATTTTGTTCTCAGTGGTTAAGTGACAGACAAGTGGTTTTTGGAACTAAATGCAATAAGGTATGTCCACTCCATACTTACAGGTTATACAGGGTGGTCTGTACTGAATGTGCCAAAATGAAATCCTTTTTGCTAATACTGTCCCATTGCCTTTTATTAAAAATGACAATAAACAATTTTGATGTATGTATTCATTTCAATTGCTATGCAGACTCGCTAGGCTTTTTATGGCAGGTTTGTATAACATTTTGATAGACAGAATTAAAATCATAGATATAACCATAAAAGTAGAAATACATGTTCTAAAGAACACTTTTGAACAAATTGTCAATATCATAGTCATAAGCATAAGCCCTTGAATAAAAGGGCTGACTTTGAAGTACATGAGATTTAACTCTGATGATTTTATGGCTGTGATTATGCAAGTGAACATTGAGAAGTGGCTGTTATATCATTCATTAGGAACAGAGAATGCCGAACAATCTGCCAGAAGAAGCTTTTCCTTAATCCCTAATCAAATCCATAAGGTATTCCAATCTTTTCTATTGCATTCAGTATAACAGAGTATTGAGGCTTTGCTTTTGTAAGTGCTCGAGTAAAAAAAAATGGTGTCAAGTAGGTTAACTCTGCACTTTCCATGCATCACGTCATAAATATATTTATATACACAACAATAAAAATGAAATGGATCTAGCCAGTCAAACAGACCTATACAATTAGTGCATAGTCCTCACCCATTAGACAACCTTGCTATCTAGAAATTTCTTCCCTTCCATACCAACAGTAACAGCCATCTGACTAATTTAGTCACCATGACAGCCAGCCATCAGACAGACCCTGACACAGGTGTATATATTAATATACATACATTTGTTGCATTGGATCTATTGAAAATATCTCTCTAACAGTCTAAGTTCCAAGGGCAAATGTATGGGGAAATCTATGAGGTATGAGATATGTCTACATGTGTGGAATTGGCAGGGCTGGAAGGATCATAATAATGAGGAGATGGAGGTGACAGAAATGAGTCACATGTGTTTTTTGTAGTGTACATGTCATGCAAGATTATAAATCCATATTTCATTATCAAGATGGTTCGTGACAGCAGTACTTGCATTTTTTCAGTTAATGGTATATGATGTAGCAACACACAAGTTAGACCAGATACCTTCATTGATAAGTAAGCGTGATATACTTTCCAATGAGCAGCAGCAATGTGGGATTCATTCAGTACGAATCAATCCATCTAGAACTCTCCTTGCAACAGGAGCTAGAAATACCTGTGATATAGCTATATATAGACTGCCTACCTTGGATCCTGTTTGTGTTGGAGAAAATGCTCATAGAGATTGGGTAAGAATTTAGATTTGATATTTTAGAAAGAAAATATAAACAGTTGAGAAATATTCCCATAACAATACATTACAGACGACTTGGCATACACTATTGATTCTTATACCCCAGAAATAAAAATCATCAATTTATAAAACATACATATTTTGAGTAATTGCCTTATTTTTTATTACTACTCTAGGTGAAACAAACTCATCCTATATTGTAGTTTTGTTACTAGTACTAAAAGATGTTCCAATAAGGATAATTCAATGGTAAACTTGTATAAAACAAGTTGAGAAAACTGTATCATTGTTTTTTTTATTTGAAAGGCCCACGTATGGGAATTTGTATGAAATATGGCTAGTTGACGGTCCGCAGCTTCACACAGTGGTATATATTCAAGAGATCGATTTTTAATGACTCTGCATAGATTTTAATGAATTTGAGCAAAATCCTTCATGTGGTGTTTAATCAAAAAAAGAGTTTTGGCCCAACAGCGTTATTGTTTTTTCTTTAAATAATGTTGGTAATATGAACAGTAAAATAACCAATATCTACGGGGCAGAATTGTAAAGTATGGATCTGGTTCCAGTAGAATCGCATTACATGCTTATATAACTTGCGAATCTTTCGAACAAAAAAAGAATCTTGTTAATACCTCACACACAGATGTATATTTTGTCCCAATATTAGTGCGTCTTGACTGAAAAACATTTTGTAAATCTGGACCTACTTATAATGTTTATAAATTTTCAAGGTCTTTGACATGTGCTGGTTGGATGATGAGTTCCTAGTGTCAGGTTCTCGTGACACAAAAATGGCATTATGGAGAATTACTCCCGACTTGCTAGAAAGTAAAGAGGAAGTTCCTAGACATCATCATGTGCAGTCAGTGGCTGTAAAAGAATGCAGAGCTGCTCAAAAGGTATTATCATAATTTATAGTTTGTAAAACTGACTGTTGCCTCACAGCAATTTCAGCCTTCTTAAACATCCTTTGTGACAAAGATTGTCTTCAAATCGTATATTTTTTCATTTTAGGTGAGAGCCCTCACCTTCAACAAAGGTTATAAAGAGATTGCTGCTCTCAGTCTTAATGGCTTCATTCATGTGTGGGATGCGGAAACATTCAGGCAAAAACTTTCTAAAAAACTGCCTTCTGCACAAGAAAATGTTTGTTTAGCAGTCCAGGACTCGGGATTGTATGCAATTGGATGTAGGTCTTATACTCTTCTGCTAGATAGTAGAACATTACAGGTAATTTGAACTGAAAGTGTATAACAAGTCGGGGATATCCCCGAAATCTCATGGAAATTTGAATCGGACTGAAGAACCAGGGCCGCAAAACTTTGTCCCAGTTCTTCCGTTTCTTTCTGGACTAACAACACTTTACATTTCTCGGGTCACTGATTTTGCCGCGTATCTATGTGTCAATAGAGACTTGGTAGTGTAGTATATTCCCGAAGTTCTATGGTGCACAGCTTGACAATAATGATTCTCTTGAGCGGGTCACTCGCACCATTTGCCAAAAATGCGTCTACTGTAAAAATTTGTCAACCATGTTTACTTTCATCGGTTAATCAGAGTTTTTATTAAAAAAAATTAGAACTGTTCATGTTTAGTTGCACAAAACGCGAAATCTCATCTCGTGAAAATTCCATACAACTTCATTCATTATTCCATCATCAGGTATCACAGCACCAAAATGATTATATACGCATGGTTTTCATCGAAATTTGTAGTCGATGTCAGTGAAATAAATACTCATTTTTATGACAATCATCTAATAACATACTATACTAAGTGACATATAAATCCGAACACCCAGTTTAAATGGTTTTATTTTAATAAAAGTTGGTGAATGTATTTATCTTACTGTAAATAACAAGTGAAAAAATTTTTAGCCTTATCAGTTGGACATTCCGGTTTTTATACTGCTTTTTTAAATTCACTAACGCTCTAAAAATGAATATTTCAGCCGCAGTAAAGAATCAACGTTGGCAGATTTTGGTTCTTGACATCCTTTACGATCGGTTACGATGCCTAGAGTACGGAGACCTGTACGATTTCGTCAACTGAGTGAGTTTGATAGGGGCCGTATAGTGGGACTTCGGGAAGCTGGACTTTCTTTTCGGGCAATTGCAGTTAGAGTGCAAAGAAGTGTAGACACTGTGGTTAGGTGTTGTCAGGCATGGCTTTGAGAAGGCCGTACGCAAAGAGCAAGGGGCACTGGACGCCGCCGTAGAACAACAGACCGTGAAGATCGCCGCCTAAGATTATTGGCCTTAAGGGACCGTTTCTCCACTACCAGGTCCATTGCAAATGAATGGTTTGCAGAACACGGAAGACCTATTGGCATGCGAAGTGTTTACCGACGAATGAGAAGTTTTGGCTTGTTTTCATACCGGCCACACTGGGTCCTCCCTTTAACTCGAGAACAACGACGTAATCGCCTTGAGAGGTACAGACAACGGTCACTCTGGGATCAGGAATGGAACAGTATTGTCTTTAGTGACGAGTCTCGATTTTGTTTAGGCATGCACGATGGTCGTCCAGGGTTAGAAGGCGACGTGGTGAAAGGAGGAATCCACAGTTTTTTGTTGAAAGACATGTTCATCACACTGTTGGAGTTATGGTTTGGGGTGCTATAGCTTATGGTTCCAGGTCACCTTTAATCTTCATCAGAGGTAACATGAACGCGCAGCGTTATATCCACGAAATTCTACAACCCCATCTTTTACCCTATCTTGACACGCTGGCAGATCCAACTTTCCAACAAGATAATGCCCGACCACATGTTGCAAGAGTTGCCTGGAATGAGATACCACAGGAGGACATTGGCCACCTGATCAGAAGCATGCCTAGGCGCGTTGGAGAATGCGTAGCACATCAGGGTGCATCCACATATTATTAAAGGTCAAAGGGCTTTAAAGCAGTGCAATCATTTTGAAATTTTTATCATTTACTTATTATGCTTCATTACTTATACAAAATTTTATTAAAATAAAACCATTTAAACTGGGTGTTCGCATTTATATGTCACTTAGTATATTAAATGATGAGGTAACAAATGGCAACTGATCTATTCCCCGTCCACTGCATTTTTATTATTTAAAAAACAACAACAATTCCATACTTTCAATGTTTACAATCAAATTATATTGACAAATAAATGCTTTTGTAAAAGCAGCTAACAAAAAAAACTTACAAGCTACCTACAATTTTCGTAAGTTGGAATTTTTGAAATTATGACAAATAATAATAATAATAATAATAAAGGGTCTTTATTGCACTAAACATTTAGTTTGAGGTGGTGAGGCTGACACTTTCTTCCTTATTTTGAAATTGCGTACCTCAGAACTTTAGGAATATATGATAATACATAGTGGTGTGGCCAAATCGAAGGGTGTAAGGTCTCAATGTATGCATAAATAAACTATATGAATTTGAATTATATTTAAAACCTCAAATCTCGTTCGCGTTCTATCGCCCATTTTGATAGAGCTTATACAGGTTTGTTGACTGTTTCGTAGTTAAGAATATTATTTCGTATAATATAAGTAAAATGAAATACGATTTGTAACCAAATAGGCCAAAAATTTGATAAGGAATTTGAATGAACCCCACAGGTGTTGATTTTTACACCAAAACTAAATTTCACCTCAAAGTCCCGAAAATTGGGGCTCTTTCTCTTCTCTCCCTAATAACAAGTTGCTTTCATTCAGTAACTTGATTTTCCTGAAAAATTATGAAAAGTCTACTTGTAGAAATCGTTTGTGTAGTGCAGGCTTGAAATTAGACCTTGACTATTGTTTGGTATTCAAATAGAATAAACTTTTCTTGTAGCCTGTAAGAAAAGTGTCGTCGAGATATTCAGGCTGTGGTATCAGATCTGCAAGTTTCCAGGGTGATGTTCTGACAGTTGGCACTGGTCTGGGCATGTTGATGTTCTATGATATCAAAGCCGGAAAATATTTAGAATCTAGTATTAACTCGTCAAGAGCTGTCGTACTTAAGGCCAGCAAAGGGTTTGTGGTAAGTAAAAGTGTTCATTAACATAATATTCTTCAAGAAGATGCTGCACCATATAGTATGTTTGGACTTTCACATGCAATTTCCATCATCACAGCCATATTGCAAAGTTTGATTCTAGTAATTTACTTAGCAATAATAAAAACAGACTCTATTTTTTTTCAACCCTTGGAGTCTTATTGGTTTTCTGTGATGATGACCAAGGATAAAAAATGTGTACATACTGGTCCTGATTCACTATTACATTTTAATGGCATTAATTTTTTTGACAAAGGTGCTTATCAGTATCAAAAAGCGACATTTTTTACAGTTTCCTGATGAAGAATTTGTAGACAACATTCAAAACGTCAAGTATGTACCAGCAATTTATACACATTGTTACGACTCTAGTGGTACAAGATTATTTTCCGCTGGTGGACCCCTACCTGCAACCCTCACTGGAAATTATGCGGGGTTGTGGCAATAAGAGTGAGTAGATAGAAGGTAGCTAAATTTTGTAAATCTAAACGAAGTGTGCCAGTTTTAGACAAATTCTTGAGCTAAAACAAAATTTCCATATATTTACATCGTAGATTCTCACTAGATCAAATGTGTAAAAATAAAAATATTTCACATTCAATTCAGGTTTTTAAACCTGGAATATATTCTTTCTTTAAGCCATTATTTTTAATTACCTGATGACATTGTATATATATATATATTTTTTTTCAGGTATAGGAAGTACCTACTTATGGCATTAACTAAAAGTGAATGCCAGATGTACCTTAGTACTAAGTACTACGATTATGAATTAGTTCCAAGAGCCTATTTATAGATGCATTTACGTTTGATTTCAAAACTTAAAATCTACTTTTCGACATTGACTACTAAAAAAAAATAATCCAATATCTGTGCTGCACTTTCTCCACCAAAAAAGTCCTCTTCTTAGCATTATCTATGGGGCCGTCAATACTGACATATTGGTTGCATGAAGTTTATTTTTGTGCATAATGTTACTGTTTCTCTGTTTAGGAAATGTGCAGCATACATTTTGGAATGTATCTGGTGTGCAAGAAAATCAAGTAACAAGCTCGATATAATCCTGTTTTGAAAATCCATAGTATTTTGGTTTTAATATTACACAACGGCACTAGTTTTTAGGATCCCTTTTTATTTTATTTTTTTTATTTATTATTTTATCACCGACTGTTCACTACTTTATAGTTTATGACTAACTTTTCGTATTTGAAAGTTTTAAATCTGTAATAATTACATTTGACCATTGATTAACGTATTATACCTGAAGATAACCAACCTAATGCTACATTCGCGTGTTCAAAAAAATTCCCCGTAATGAAATGAGATACCGTATTGTCATCTATGAGAATTTCCCCGCTCTGCAATAATTAGAAATCTACGTTGAAAAGCTTAGTGTCTCATAGATCGCGCTGTAGCCAACTGTATATACGAGCATATCATTACAGCATCATCTATGAGACACTAACCTTTTCAAAGTAGATTTCTAGTTATTGCGGAGACCAGAAAAATAGCTGTAAGAAATTCTCATAGATTGCGTAACGGAATCTCATTTCATTTTGGATCATTTTTCGCGCCCGTGAATGCAGTATTCGGATAGCTATCTTCATGTAGAATACTTTAATCATGATTTGGCGTATTTTCTCATATTTGTTATATCAAACTGTTTGCTTTATTATCCCCAAGTTTATATTTTGGCAGTGTCCAGTGTACATGGGCGCCTTCCTGATGAGCCAGTTCGCTCATGAAATTTTCGTATTTAGCGTGGCTTTGTGTACATATTGAGGATTGGCCCCCCTGAGAAAATTTGCTACCCCTTGCTCTTCAAAAGTGTTTAAGGTGCCCATGAGGAGAAGCATTGTATTGGCTATCAGAATAGTGAATTCAAATATAAAAAGCTACATATGTCATTATTTTGATTCCTAATGCATTGTAAATACAAACATTGAGCAATTCAAAATTGAAAAGCAATCAGTAGATAGTTTAGAACAATTTCCGTGTACAATCTATAAATTGAGAAGTCAGATTCTGTCTGTAACAAGGTATTTTTCTTTGTAAATAGCTTTATCTGGTTTCTTATAGCTCCTTCACGTTGGAATCAGTAATGATCAGAAAGACCTTACAGTTTATAATACGTTTAACATTTTAGCAACTGCCAAGGCATCAAACAGCTGGCATGTGGAGTGTTTTTTTTTTTCTTCAGTTTGTCATTATGTCAAGGATAAAAACATACTGCCACCGGTTATGCAAGGAGAAGACCGGCACCGGTATTACGTATCTTAAAAAGTGACATCTTGTCGGTTTTTTAAGCAGGATTCCAATAATTTGGCAAATCTAACAGCAATACATGAAAATAGATCGGAAATATTTGAAAGTATGGCCGGGCTAGAAAAATATTATACGTTTAAAAGCGCCATCTCAGAAAAATATACATATAAGATTATTTTTTATTATTGTGCTCCTTCACGCACTGAAAATAAAGGTTTTTATAGTTTTTAGTCTTGATTTCAACATTGCATAGTTTCTTCAAAAATCGTATTAACAAGGTGTCTTCAAGCTCCTCATAGCAGTCGCGGGACTTCGGCATTCAGGTTTCTGCCTATGCCGCTGCACCAGTTTGAAAAATAGTGTTGCAAAAGCATTTTCAACGAAACGCTGGCCATATGAATAAAAACATTGTACCTACGTTACTATTCCAACCTGATGAATCAAATGAATATAGACAGTGGAATTTGTATGCATGCTCCGGTAAAATTTTAATCCAAATTTTAGACAATGAGCGCGTTCAGCCAACGTAAAGCGGTCTAGCGGGATACCTTTGTTAGTGTTTTGTCAGCAGTTTTCACTTTGGTGTCAGATTTAATAGTCTGTTATACCAGGAGAACCGGCAAAATAAGCAAGAAACAACCTCAACACTTACGCCTGACTGAGAGCGCAATGATGGAAGCGAGTACCAGCTACTGCTCAGGGCATGAGGTTTTACGAGATCCTGATGCTTGAATCTGCAGGTATGCTTTTTTTTTATACAACCGCACGTTTGAATTTGCCAGGCAACCCGGCGCTGTAATCTGTTCTACTTTTATCATTCATAAAAATCAAGTTTTATAAAAAAACAGATACCTGCAGATTCAAGCTACCGGATCTTAGACTTAATCAAAGTACAAAGTTGCCAGATGGCTCGAACAAAATTTCCCCAGAACAAGAATAAAAATCCCCCAGAATTGCTGTTTTTTCGAAAAAAGAAAAACAAATCATAGTAATGGAAAGGAGTAGGTTTTGTCCAAATATTACCCAAGCAAAAACCTCCCAATTTTGAGAAAAAATCCCCCAACGTGGCACCCTGTCAAACCACCACTGGTACTCTCGACGACACAGCAATGCCGTAGTTTCTTCTGGTATATAGGCTCCTTGGTTTGTTGATTGATTGTTGCGAAACCTTCAACTCTATTCCACGGCTACCGATATTCAGCGGTGCACTAGTTTATGTTGGCTGAATACACCCATTTATATTAAAAAACATTTCAGCCATTAAAAATTGTGTCAAATCATTGATAAGTGCCAAAACTAACATGATAATGAAAAGCTCATTTCAAATTAACAAAAAAAAATTGTTTCAGTTTTAACATCATTCAAGAAATTTAGAGCTGCGTAAAAATTCATCAGTCTGTTGATACATTTCAACACCTTATAACGCTGAATAATCTCAGATTATAGTAAGAACAGTGCTTCTATATGAGACTACTGGTACGAGGGTTGATCTAGAAATAAGTTTTCCAAAGAGGTACTAACTTGCATACTTCAACATAATGACAAAGGTCTCACTGACCATCTTGACAAACATTGGAATAATATGCCTGGTTGATGTTTACAGTACATTTGATTTCTGATGTAAAAATCTAAAATTCCAAAGAACCTTAAAAATAATTGGCATATGATTGTATATGATAATGTATTATGATGATATGAGATGTTGAAACAGTTGACATATGTATGTTGATATAGTGCAATTGTCCTATTTATTTCAATATGGATAGGCTTACTATATAATGGATATGTGTTGAGTAAAGTGGAAGACTTTTTAAAATGTTTTATTCATACATTACCTTATCCTATTTACAATATCGTACACATCTATCAATTAATCAATAATTGTATTTTAATAATATGGCCTCCTCGGATTGTTCTAGAAAAGCAAAACAAAAGTCAGTTACTTATTAGCTGAAATAGTGAAAGTTGTACACGAAAATTTTGAAATGCCTTCATGAAGTAAACCTGTTAACTAAAATGCTCGTTATGATCAGAAAATTCCTCAATAACTTACCAAAGGATTCGGCCTAAACCTGTACGCCAACATCATCCTTTTTCTGTATGATTCATACTCGTCTTCATCTTCATCATTCTCATTGAGACCAAGGCCTTGTGTGTTTTCTCTGGGTTCAGCTCTACCAAAAATAATTTAATCATATATACATTATAAGTTGCAGTAGTATGAATGGATTAACACTTTTCTTCTTTAGAAGAGTTCCATCAATTGTAATTCTCGGGCGCTACCCACCCTAATGAAATACTACAAGATTCATGCCCCTGTTTGCCTGTCATGGGATTTTCGAGCGCTGGTGTGTTTTGACGTGGCGTAAATGAAATTTGAGTGAGTGTGTTTATACCGTTTCTAAACAGTTATTCTCTTCTCTAGATAAAAAACCTTAGCTAACTGACCGAACCTACTTGATAGGATCTACGATCCCTCCGCCGGTGGCTCCCAAACCTTCTCCTTCCGACCAACCCAGCTTCTGAAGCATCCTGAACCCGACGTTGTCTTCTTTGATTTTGTACTCATCAGGCTGAAGTTCAAGTTCATCGCCTGGTTTCAACCCCTTCTTTTCGAGGAACTTCTTTAACTCGTCCGGGGGCAGGAAATCGCCAATGTGGTGCTTCCCTTCGGCCTGTTTAGTTAGCTCTTCAGCCCATATTTGAGTCTTAATCATTTCCTGATTAGAAACAAGCAAAACATGTTTTAAAGTTGTTTCATGAGATATGTTTCGGATTTCTAGTTTCTATGCGTTTTTAGCTGCATTATATATGATTGAGGTATTCTTTACTTGGAAAAAAATAATGTATCCCACCCCCAGTCTTCAATTGTAACAAGAGTATTCTCTCTCAGAAGCAGACGTCCCCCCCCCCCCTTTCGCTCTTCAATCACCATTACCCCCCAAGACAAATTTCCAAATCCGCCCTTATCTACAGGGTGGCTAATATACAGGGTGTTTCAGTTTATTGTTGCATAACTGTAAGATTCGATAGAACTTTTAAAATTAATGCATGAAGTCTATATAAACATGGGTCGAAAAATGCGTGGCTTCCGAAATACAGGGTGTTTAAATTTACTTTCTAAAATAGTTTTTTTTAAATATTTCGAACAATATTTGATGCATAACAGTGAAAATTGGTATACAAGGGTTTTTTGGTACGACAAAACGAACCATGGGCATAGTTTTACTGAGCCGCTTGAGGGCGCTCTCTACTGTACCTGTAGTTTATTAAAATGACCGAAACATTTTTCTTAGTGCATTTTTTTGCTTTTTGAATAAAAAAACTGATTCTTCGCACTTTTCAACATAAAAAAGCTCTCCTGTGAGTTTTCATTATAGTTAGCCGTTTTTGAGATATTTCGATTTTTAAGGTTCGATGCATTTTTAATTATTTATGGGAAAATAATATTTTTTTTACATTTTCGATTTGGGCATTACAAGTAATTAAGATTAGATTAGATTGTGTTTTTAAACACAGCAATAATTCCTAACTCCAAATAAACACAAAAAAACAATATTAATTTGTTTAATTTTCCAATACTATTTTTAACAAATTAAATTAATTATTTACAACTAAAATGCTATTGGATAGTTAGGACAAACATACAAAATCTAAAGTAGTTGCTCGAAATGTAAACCCAATTGTTCAATACACAATTCACATCTACGAATGATCGAACGTGGTATAGCATTATTCAAATAAGGCCTTATTTCATCACATGCATTCCTGATTCTGTCTATTAGCATATCTCTTGTGGTTACGGGAGTCTGGTACACTTTTTCTTTTAGAAATCCCCACACAAAGAAATCTAATGGATTTAGGTCAGGGGATCGTGGATAATTTTCGTCCAGCCAGTTTCTAACTATTCTCTAATAATAAGCTGGACAACCATCAAGCTGGAACCAGGCCTATCTTATTAAATCTAACATAACATCATCCCACATATTTGCATGTTCAGCCTTTAAAAATTCCAAGAAGGTCGCAGCATTTAACCTTGCAGGCAAAAGGTAGGGTCCAAATAGTCGATTACGGTAGATACCAATCCACACGTTCACACTACATTCATGCTGAAAATTTCTTTCCCGAACTGCATGCGGATTTTCATGCGACCAAATATGTTGGTTATGAAAATTTACCACTCCACGTCTAGTGAAGCATGACTCATCGGTCCATAAAACGTTACTTTAAAACTCCCTATTATTATCAGTTCTATCAAGAATCCACTGACAAAATGTGATTCTTCGTTCTCCGTCCCCTGGCTGTAGTCCTTGCACAGGTTGCAAATGGTAAGGACGTCTATGGTCATTTCTAAGAACACGGTGAACATGGCTTGCTGAAATTCCCAAGGCACCAGAAACACTTGTGGTCGGATCTCTATCAAACTCACGCAGAATCATACGGGTAAATCTGCGCTGACGAACATTTATGTTTTGATCCCTTTGGAGATTTTCAAAACCATTTTCAATGATTTGGCGATGCACTCTTACAAATACTGAGCGAGTTGGATGTCGTCTGTTTGGAAATCTTCGTGCGTATTCTCTGGCTGCTTCTGCTGCTTTTCCATTTACAAAGCCATACACAAAATGAATATCCGCTAACTCTTGATTGGAGAATAAAAATGGCATTTTTATAAAACTTACAAAAAAAAAACAGGTAAAAGAAACTAAATTTCGTGCATTCACAATTGCAAAACAACGTTTCAGGTTTCAACAGACAACAAAACTAACTGTCAACTAATTGACGTTTAACCTTATTCTGCTTTCAATTTCAAAAATATTTGCAGGCACAGCCTACTTCTAAAAATTATCGAGATATTGACTTTTTAACGTTATTTTATCATAAATAATTAAAAATGCATCGATCCCTAAAAATCGAAATATCTCAAAAACGGCTAACTATAACGAAAATTCACAAGAGAGCTTTTTTATGTTGAAAAGTGCGAAGAATCAGTTTTTTTATTCAAAAAGCAAAAAATTGCATTAAGAAAAATTTTTCGGTCATTTTAATACACTACAGGTACAGTAGAGAGCGCCCTCTAGCGGCTACAGTAAAACTATGCCCATGGTTCGTTTTGTCGTACCAAAACACCCTTGTATACCAATTTTCACTGTTATACATCAAATATTGTTCGAAATATTTAAAAAAAACTATTTTAGAAAGTAAATTTAAACACCCTGTATTTCGGAAGCCACGCATTTTTCGACCCATGTTTATATAGACTTTATACATTAATTTTAAAAGTTCTATCGAATCTTAAAGTTATGCAACAATAAACTGAAACACCCTGTATAACTGACTGATTTAAATTGCGCGCCATTTTTGATGCACGCATTTCAGTAGGTGGCGCCGTAGTAGTTGTTTAAAACACATGTGTCCAATTCATCATGGAGCGCTACGCGGTCCCATAACCCGTCGGTATTGTTAAAACGTTTTACTTAAATAATGAGTTGATTGATCGAAGTAATGTGCCCAGTGTCAACCCATTCGTCAGTTGGTGAGGAAATTTGAGCAAATAGGTGAAGTTAATGCTTAATGCCCAAAATAACGATTGTACCGACAACTGATATGAGCGATGAAGCCCATTTCGATATGAACGGATTTTTTATGGGGATTTTTGAGTTTATGCCAACAAACCAAATACTGTAGAGCAGCTGAAGAACAATATTATGGCAGCGATTGAAAATATTCCTCCCGAAACCTAGTAAAAAGTGATGGAAAATGTAATCAAGAGAGCTCAGGTTTGCAAGGCTTCTAGAGGCGAACATTTGTCTGATATTATTTTTCATACATAATTTCTAAGTTTCAGTAAAAGATTAAGATGAAAAAAATGGACATATTTTATTTCATTTCACAAATATTCTAGATACAAACCAGTCAGTTACATATCAGTCACCCAGTATTATATATCTTATCTTCAAAATAAACATAATGGTGAAAAGTGATGCTTGACAAGCAACTACTCCTAAAACGTATAACGTATAGTTGGACCAGCGAAAGATTGCAAGCCGAAAGAATGCGGACAAAAAATTGCGAAGTTGTCAGATGTTCTACATAAAATGCGGTCCATACATATTAACATATTTAAGATATAGAATTGTTCCGCTGAATTTGGCAATGTAGCTGGAAAACCCAGGCCGCAGGTAAACATCCGGTCGCTGATTGGTCCAAAACTCTTATCTTATCTGAAACTAGAATAACGTGCCGATGGCACGGTCATTTATAAACCTACTCCCATAGGCGTAGGCAGTTGGCAAATACTTTGAAAATATAATTTACTGTTTAGTGGTGATAATGGAATTCAAGCATGGGAAAGTTATTCACAGCCAGGCAAGGGAAATAATAGCAAACGTGATACGTGCTTGCGATGCAGAAGCGGCTAACAATACTTTCGTTTATCCACTGGTAGCTAGAAATGCAAGGGCGGCATATTATACGGGTGTTAGTGAACGAACTATAAGTAAAATTAGAAAAGAAGATAAAGACAGGCAAAATGCAACCTCCACACAGCCTTTAGCTTCTCCCGGAAAAAAGAGATCACGCCCTTCTGTGATCCAAAAAATTGATGGAGTCGATTTTTCCATTATTCGGAGAATGATAGAAAAATTTTACTGTGATTTTAAAGTGGTACCTACTTGTAGTAAACTTCTAATCAAACTGAAGGAAGAAATGGAATTTCCATTTGGTAAAGAATCGTTGAGGCTGCTTTTAAAAGCAAAAGGATTTTACTGGCGTAAATGCCACAACAAAAGGAAATTACTAATGGAAAGACCCAGTATTTTACATTGGCGATACAAGTATCTTAGGTCTATTAAAAAGTTCCGGGAAGAAGGAAGGCATATTATTTATTTGGACGAAACTTGGGTTGATAATGACCTCACTTTCAAGAAATGCTGGCAAAGCGAAGAAATTATGGGTGTCCTGAGCAATATAAGTTCTACAGGTAATAAAGTTTCTTTCACCTCGATTTTGCTTATTATACATTTTTCTCAATTTTGGAATATTCTTAATAAGTGCTCATTTAATTTGTCTAATTGAATACATAATCCCTTGCAAGTATTTTTTTCTCAAAAATATGTTTTTTATACATAGTGATTCAAAAAGGTGTTGGCAAACTTAAAATAACACTAAAATGAGGCTATTTATTCATTTCCAGGACGACTTATAATTGTTCATGCGGGTTCGCAAGATGGTTTTGTTCCTGGAGCCTGTCTCATTTTCAAGGCTGGCTGTGCCACTGGTGATTATCACGGTCAAATGAACCAAGAAAATTTCACGAAGTGGCTTACTGAAAAACTATTTCCTAACATTCCTCCTAATAGTATTATAATAATGGATAATGCACCTTACCATTCAGCTTTGGAAGACAAGCCTCCAACTAGATCTTCTCTAAAAAGAGACATCATCACGTGGTTGAGCAAAAAAGGTATAGAGCATGATCCTAATGCTAAAAAAATGGAGCTTTATGAAATAGCTTGTCTACATAGGCCACCATCTGATGAGAAAAATTATAAGATAGATAATTTAATAAGAAGTTTCGGACACACCCCACTTCGAACGCCACCCTATATGTGTCAGTTTAATCCCATAGAGATGATTTGGGCACAAGTAAAATTTTTCATTAGAAGCCATAATACAAGCGGCGAATTTACTATAAAAAAACTAGATGAAATTTCTAATAAGGCCATCGCTTCAGTAAGTGCCAGTGACTGGCAAAAGGTTATTGGACATGTTATAAAAATTGAAGATGAATATTGGGAAAAAGACAGTCTCATTCAAGAAATACAGGAAGAAATAATAATCAACATAGGAGGTGAAAGTGATAGCAATGACAGTTCCTCAGACAGTGATCATGACTCTAATCAGGATTGAAACTATACTAGATTGGCTACCTTTTAGAATTTTTAGATATTCATTTATTATACTATTGGTTTGTGGCTTTTAGTATCTCAGTAGAAAGTCTAATTCTATGTGTTGTTTATGGGTTATTTCATCAAGAAATTACTTTTTGTTTTCCTATATTTTTCTATTCAGTCAGATATTTTTGACTTGTTGTATTCTATTTTAGAAGAATGCATAATTTGTTTTGCTGTTCAATCATAATGCGTACATAGGAATATTACTTGTTGCCTAAAAAATATATTTATTTTGTTCTCAATATTCAGTGTTTGTGTATATTTATTTCTTATAATGTATGTTTGGTATCACGTCATTATGAATCGCAAAAAAATATTAATACTACCAGTTGTAATAAAATATAAATTCAATTAATAATTCAAGTCTCTCCGATCTCCGCCTATGACTCCATATAAAATCGTCTAATGGTAAGGTTTTTTCATCGCATTTCCCCCTTTCGTCCCTAGCAATCTTTGGCTGGTCGATCAATAAATCATGTTCCTGTGAATAATTGTATTCCTGAAATGGAGGAGCTTATGAGGAAGCCCTGAATTTTCCACAGAAGCATTCCTTTACCGATATTTAAAAAGCAATATTTTTTTAAATATACCATAATCTATAGTCGTCTCTAAAGAATGCCGTCTCACTTTTGCAATATTGTTCTCTAAGATACCAAAACTTACTTTTTCTCTAGCCTTATGTTCCCACGTTCCACCTTCAATCTCTTCATCCGAGTCATACTCGTACTTATTCTTTCCTTCCATCTTCAATCTCTTGGCTTCCTCTTGCTTTTTGACCATATCTTGATACACTAAATGCACTTTGTAGTTTTCTTCGGCTTTCTTCCATTCTTCCTCAGTTAAATTCGCTGAACCGTAGGTTGAAACAGCGTACTGCACTAACCCGGGATCGTTTCTGGTTAGTTTGGTAAGCAGTGGAGCAGGTTTGTCTAAGGAAATATGACAGGCAGTTAATACTTTGATCGTTGATAATAATAATAATATTTATTTGCCATTCTCTACACAGTATGAAAATACACAATATGTTAGCAAATAAATATTATAACGCTCACAGAAGGTACACACCTTGTGCGTGAGTAGTGATCTATTCAAATTAATTAGAAACCTTTTTTATGCCGCCTCAAAACACATAAGTACTCACTGTTCAGGAATTTATGACGCGAGAATTTGAATATCAGCTGCTCTTGTTTGTTTTGGTGCGACAAACATGAGACTTTGATAAAACTTATATCAAATACTATTTCCTACTTGTATAAAGCGGGTCATGAAGAAGCTTTTTCTGTAGTTCCAGTTTCATTGAAAAATATAACTAACTCGCGTAATGAACAAAATAATAATTCTGTGTAATCCATGCAAAACTGTACCAATGAAAAATATTTTTAGCATATTTTTTACTGACTTTGAAGAGAAGATGCAGGTAGAACTGTTGGTATGCCGGGAGGAGCAGGTAATACAGTAGGATTTAGAGCTGGTTGATTGTAGACAACAACGGGGGGAGGGATATTTGTTTCTTTATCACCCCATCTACTTCTACGTTTTCTTCTTCTTTCCTCTCGAGCTGCGTCATCCTAGAAAAAGGATAGATCGTAGTGTAATAGAAGGATACTTATTTTGGATGGTGGTGCAGGTAGGGGACCACTAAAAATGGAACAATACTACCTTTAAAAATGAACTACAATACTAATTCTGGACCTTGAAAAATAGATGTAAAAAGTTACTTAGGCCCGTATCGTCAGTCGTCCCTACAATTGTAGGGCGCATTTATGGCCTGCTTGATTGTCATCCTCCTTTCTCTCCTTTAAAAATTTCAAGATTACACTTGTCCCGTGTCAGCGTCAGCGCTATCCTATTGTGAAGATATGTTTTCTTTTTAAATTGTAGGAAATTTCAGGCTCATAAAACATGATATAACTCAAAAGCAAGCACAATTTGATGCAAATAGATGTTTGTGACATAACCTCAAAATAGAGTTCTGACACGGAGAAGCAGAAAACTATGACAATCAAGGTGGCCATTAACGCGCCCTACAATTGTTGTAGGGACGACTGACGATACGGGCCTTAGCCTCACCGCCACTTACGAATGAGAAATTTACTATCGTCTAGTAGATTCTCGTATACGGCTACTGTCAAAATTTTAGCCGAATCGGACTCGTAGTTTTGTTTAGAACGCTTTGGAAAGCGGTCGTGTCCGCAGATTTTAGAAAAATGGAAAAAGAGCAATATTGATCAGCGATTCGATTCTTGTTTTTGGAACGCGGCGAAATCAAAGAGCGCTTGGATGCTGTGTATGGTGACTCTTTTCCTTTGATGGCGACCGTAAAAAATGGGTTTGAGTTTCAACGTGGTCGCACGTCAGTTTTTGATGAGCCAGGTAGGTGCCCCCAAAACGGCTACGACGGAGGATAACGTGACAAAAATCTACGATCTCGTATTGGCAGACCGCCGATTGAAGGTGCGCGAGATAGGTAGTCTTTTCTAAGTAGCTACTAGCTGTTTTTTAGCTCACCTTGTCTTTCTCTTCCTTCTTAATCCCAGCAACTTGCCCATCGTCCTCTTCTAACGCCATCTCAGGCTCGTACTTTTCCTCTTTTACGCCGCTTCCTCTCCAATCCCCAGAATTCTTCTCAGCGCTATTTGCAGCCGCATTTTCCCGCTTGAATTCCTGGATCATGGCCCGGTATTGCCGGTACGCCGCACTCTCCGGATGGAACAGGAACCTACACACACAAGAACCGCACCAAGCGGTGAAGTAGTTAAAATCGACTGGAAACAGGTGCAAGCGATGGTATTTCATTTGCTTTTTTTGTTCTTTTCTGTATTATGTTGTAGGGAGCTACATTTGTGAGATGTGATTCGAGCAGGTCGATTACCGAATGGGACTGGAACATTATTTCACTAATTTTCATAATAATAATACAATACAATCTTTATAGACAACAAACGAATAAATAAGAAAGATCCCAGAGGAAGGAATACAAGTTCCTTATGCACGGGCCATGTGACTATTCACAATAGGTACATCAAATTTGTATACCCTTACACAACCTAAAAATGTAATGATAACACATTCATTAATATAACATAGACGAATTTACAATACATGTCTTATGTAAATACGTTTGCAACATACACTTGATATTAACATAAGTTGAAAGTAAGCTCAATGAAATGTCTCAATATTTAATTTGAAGAATAAGTAAACATCCTGAATGGTAAAAGGAAGAAGTAGTAAGTATTAATTTGTTGGCCCCAGAAATATGGGAAAAGTTTATGTCAAAAAAAGTATTCTTTAGGTCGATAGCATGATGATTTTTAGATCGAGGAGCAGATATTATCCGTTTAAAACGTCAAGAGGTGACTAAAATCATTGATCAACTCTGTGAGATGTCTGAAATATCATGAAATTCAACTCGGAGGATTTTATCTGGAGATTTGCACAGGAGAAGGGCTGCAGCTTGGTCGCTCGCCTTCTTATAGCCAAGCAGAAGTGTCGACTCAGGCATGTTTTGAGCTCAAAGGGGACTTTGAATGTTTTTCCAAGATGATTACTGGTGATGAATCGTGGATCTATGGATACGACCCCGCAATAAAGCAGCAATCAAGCCAGTGGAAGGCAGCTGGCTCTCCTCGTCCCAAAAAATCTCGCCAAGTGAAGTCAAACATCAAGATAATGCTCATTTATTTTTTCAATTGCAGAGTTAGCTCCCCCGAGCCAAACTGTTAGCCAGAAGTTCTACTTGGAGGTATTGGAAAGAATGAGGGAGAGTATCCTAAAGAAAAGGGCGGATTTTTGGCCCATACCGCCTTCTCCGCAAAGCAGTTTTTTATCAAAAAAGGCGTGACATCGATTGTCCAGCTCCCTACCCAACACTCACTGGATCTAGCCCCCTGAGATTTCTTTTTGTTGCCCAGACTCAAAAGGGACATGAGAGGGAAGCGTTTTGCCACTGTGGAGGAAGTCAAACAAAAATCGCGGCAAGCCCTAAGAAAATCCCGATAAGTGAATTTAAATATGTTCTGTTCTGAACAATGGATCTCGTTTGGAGAGCTGCATTGTGGTCAATGGTGGTTCAAGGCGATCAAAATTTGGTGTAAAAATATTAAGAAACAAAGAAGTTATGACACCGTTCTCGTTTTTTTTTTGTCCCTCTTGTATGATTTGAACTACATGAATCTGATGTCACCTATTTATTTCAAGCAACTAAATTCAACATCCTCGATCTTGCATCATATCAATTATTTGGGATTAACAATTTTTTTCCTATATCATGTGTACGTACACATTTTTGCAAGCAATTCACAATTTCGACTTACTGCTCCGCAACATACGATAATTTATTTATTTCTGCAAAATGTTCACGATCTCCATCACCGGCTGACATCGACCTGCTCGAAGCACAGCTAAACCTAGCAATCGTCCTAAGTATAATACTAAAGAAAAAAAATAAATATCTGTATCTTTTTTGTCCAAAAGAGGATGAGTTACAACACACAGCACACGTGGGTGCGTGTGCGTGCACATTACCACAGATTCGGGTCTTGGGTCTCCCGCTTCTTGACCATGTCCTCGATACCTTGTCCGCACTGGGCCACCATGCGTCCCAGTGACGCCATCGCTTCGTGTTCTGGCGAACCTGCAGGGAAAACTTCACAACACGTCACTAAAGGCGGCCCTATGATATCTGCGACCGCAGGGAGGACTACACCTCATTGACCAGGTACCATCACCTCAATGGCCATGTTTACGCCGTGGGTAGCTAACCAAAGGACTGTGCTAGTCCGTGTATTAAGACCACTTTGTGCTAACTGATGGCGCAACGCGAGTTCATTATTTACACCATGCGTTGTGCGTTATTTAAGGGCTTAGAGCAGCGCTAGTGCTCAGCTTAACGCGCAGTTTAAATGGGCTGGCGTTGCGTTATCTCTTGAAACGGTTGCGGTGTTAATGCACGAAACAGCACCGTGCTGTGGTTAGCTACACACTGTGTAAATATGGTCAATGTATCATACATACACTGAGGACCAAATTTGGCTGACGGGCACGAGTTCAATATGTACGAGAACTGTGTATCAACACATGTTAGAACGAAATACGAGCCCCTTCCCACTTCAGTTGGCCCAACTATTGAAATCTTAGTTTTTTTCTTATCAAACACAAATAAAAATGTAGCAGCGGTGTTATAGGTTTAAAATATTAACAATGAATATTTTGATAATATATAGTGGAAAACTTTTATCACTTCCTAATCAAATTTGCAGCATAAAAATAACACATGTTGCAATTACAGCATATCAACCTATTTTCATTTCAATGCAAAATAAGTCTATAACGCACAGCTGTCAGAACACGTTTAAAATAGTTTTGGGTAGTTAAGGTTTTCAAAATGGGTAGAGGAAAGGTTATTAGTGAGAAAATCCGGTTACTGATAATTAATTTTTTTAATTCTGGGAAATCAAACTCAGAAATTGCAACTTTGTTAGACTTATCGCGGTACAGTGTGAGAAATATTATTAGAAGATATAACGTAATTGGTTCAGTTAATATTAAGCCACGATATGTGAAAAAAAGTAATATCACAAATGCCGACTGAAGAGCGTCAAGAAGAATAATCGTGAAAAACAGGCGTGCCAATTATTTACAATTAAGTGCTCTGTGGAGTGACGCTGTTGGAAGAAGAATTTCGAGGTCGACAACTCATAGAGAGGCCCACAAACTGGGATTTAGCACTTGCAAGGTAAGTTTTCTTATACAAAAAACCCTAAACTTGCACAACTTGTTTATAGGCCAAAGAAAAGCCACTATTAACTCCAGTGCAAAAGAATAATCGGCTTAGATGGGCTAAAGAACATAGACAATGGACACCTCAACAATGGTGTGCAATACAATGGAGTGATGAGGCCCGATTCGAAGTTTGTGTGGGTGACAGTCGCAGTAGAGTTATTCGCAAAAAAAATGAAGCATTCCTTGTTGACTGTCTGAAGAGAAAAGTGAAATTTCCAGCATCCATTATGGTCTGGGGCAGTATGTCATCAAAAAGAGTAGGAAAACTTCATTTCATTGATGGAAATGTGGATACAAACAAATATTTGGCAATTTTAGAAGAATAGCTTTTACCTGTGATGGAAGAATGTTTGACATCCGGCCAAGATTTTGTGTTTCAACAAAATGGTGCAGCGTGCCATACCTCAAAAAAGTACCACTTTTGAAATGGGTTTCTAGCAGTCCAGATCTGTCACCTATTGAATCTTTGTGGCACGAGATGAAAAAGGTTCTACAACATCTTGCTCGTACAATCACCGAACTGAGACAAAAGCTTCAAGAAATATGGGAGTGTTTTACACCAAATTTTTGCCAAAACTTGGTTAACACTATACCCTAAAGAATTTCAGCCGTAATAAAAATAAAGTGTGATGTTACCCAATGGTAATCTTTCAATTGTTGCTTTGTTAACTTCGCGCATTTATTCGCAAATTGTTTATTTGTTCAGATGTTCTATTAGTTATAGGTCTAAGTGATTTCAAATATGTATTTTTTACGACTAGAGTGTATCTAAAATGTTTTTGAGAAGATAAATTGTTTTAGAAGTAAATAGTTTCGTCATGTTTAGTTTATAAAGGCATATTTTGGTACAAATCTTGAAGTGGGCCAACTGAAGTGGGAAGGGACTCGTAGAAGCCGGCTGACGAGCGAAGGTCATCACCACATAGCCTAGCAACGGTGATGCAGACGTTCGTTCAATCTTCCGCGTTGCCAATAGGCTTCTACAATAGGTTAGATTACTGTCAAACCCAAGAAGGAGATCTGTTCAAACATTTAATATTTTTTTCATTTTGATTAGAATTATTTCAATTTTGATACAAAAATGTGTACGCTCAAAATAAAACCATTATTTGGGCGTAAAGAATAAATTAACGCATATTTTCAATATGGATTTTATTTCAAGCAACTGGTGTAACATATTGGCAAGGCTAGGCCACGCCGCGATGAGCTTTGCTATCCAGCCGGCTTCTATCCCTTTCTAACATATGTGTCTATGCACACTTCTCTCGTACACACTGAACTCAAGCCGTCAGACAAATTTGGATTTCAATGTACATCTGTTTCCATAGTTATCAAATATAACTAGACATTGGGTACGTTCAGTTGCTCCTAGCTACTACGAGCTAGCCGTGCGTGAAGTATTTTCAGCCAAACGTGCGTACCTACTAAATTTCAATAAACGTTACATTTCCTGAGAAACTACACACTGTTACGCATTTGCCGCCGAAAACGGTTTGGAACTTATTCGAGTGACAGTGGCGCAATGCATAAAAATTGCGCATCAAACAAAAATGTTAAAAAATACCTCGAAGAATGAAAACAATTTAAAGCAGTTAATTGATGTTGACTTCTACTTGGAATAATTTTTAAACTTGCAAAAAGATATGGTTAATTATATCAATAAGCAAGCGATACTTATTTATCAACGTTTGTGGACACCATGATACCCATATCCCTTTAATATCAGATATTTTTGTCGTCTGAGTCAAATAAAGTCTGATTATATCGTACAAAGTAGAAAATAAATACGCAAAAAGTTGACAATATTTAATAATATATTAGGATAATAATTATTTTTTTCTCCTAGAAATGTTTATACATGGGGCCATGTACTCGATCAATGAGGTGTTATGCATTTATAAAGCCAAGGTGAGCCAAATTTTATACAAATTCTTGTATTGAACAAAATTGGTGGTAATACGATATAAAAAAAATATTTCCATCTGTTCTACTAATACACATATTTCATATTAAGCGACATACATATGTATATCCGTGCCTCAAAATAATTAATAATATATGAAAATAGTTTTCAAGTTGTAAATATGATGTTTTAGAATATAAATACATGGTGTTAAAATATTCGAGACATCGGCGATTCCATGATTGATTCTAAGAAGAAAGGTTCACATAAATATAAGAATAAAACCTTTTCAAGCACATGAAATATCAATTTTTCGTAAAAATCTCTATATTTCTTCTGATGTTTTTGCAGTTTCTTAAATTTTCGTGTACACAGATGCGACGGTGGCGGTTTATATTAAATCGAATAGGTCGAAAATTTGGCGCGTTTGTGCTTTCGCTGGATTTTTTTAAATGTTTTATAAGCTTATATAAGCTTTCCTTCCTGGAATCGCTATAGGTATAACCCCTTGAAATTCAGCCTGGTACTTTATTAACACCATGTACCTTGCAGCAACTTTGAGTGACTGATCGAAAGCCTCTATTGCCATTAACACTGTAGATAAAGTTGTATAAATATAAATATAACAAACCAAGACAATGAAAAGCATAAAATAATTTTGCTGATGGAAAATATTGACCATCTATTATATAATTATTTTCATATACATATATCTGTATGGTGTAGGCACACTAAGCGTCAAGCATATGCATATATTAGTCATCCCTGCTTTTAAAAACGTAAAAAAGAGCCTGTACTACACTTTTTTCATTTCATACTCCATTAGAAAAAAAAATAACATGCTAATTTGCTTATTATCATCACAAGTGAACAACTTAGCATGTTTCCTGCGATATTCGTACCCTAGACCTGTTAATAATACAAACCATGGTACCTGGTGCGTTAAAACAATTTCAAGATTGAGGAATATAATAATCCTGCCAAGCCAACTTAAACCAAATACCACTGACGTAATGTGTACGAGAGAGAAGCTCGATATGTATCTTAGAAAGGCGACAGGCAAATTTGAATGTCACCGTATGTGTGTCAATACAAGGAAAAGAACAATCATTCAATTCCTGTGCAACAATCTGAAATTGGATAAACTTTTTCGTTCTGATAATCATATCCCAAAATTAAACTTTTACTGTAACATCGACATCATAATGGTCATCAACCAGTTTCAAACACACCAGATACAAACACTCCACCTCAAAACCTTAGAAAACGCCCATTTACCTGCACTGAAATCCTTATATCCTCTGGCTCCAGCTATAAGAGGTGGTGGCTGCAGCCTATTGGGCGGTGGTACATTGACAGGCGGCAACTGCGGTGGTGGTTGGCTGAGAAACGCTGGCTGCGGGCCTTGTTGCAGTTCTCCGCCAGGCGTTAGTGCATTCACGCTCACCGATAGGGTGGGGGGAGGGACTGTAGTTACTTGAACCACGCCCACAGGAACGGTTACGATCTGACTCGAGTGGATGTTTTGTAAAGTAGGCGGGACTAGAACGTTCTGGGTCGACGTCAACGCTATGCTCGTTGCCATCAGGGGTATCTGCGTATCGTGATGCATTTGAGTGGGGGGAGGGATGGCTTTATTAGGTGGAGGATTGTTCTTTATGAATTCTGCATCAGGAACACCCCTATTGTCGTTGGGCGTGGGTATCGCCATCAGGTCTATGGGTTTAGGATTGGGAATCTCATTTAGCTGGATAGACGTGGGAGTGGGGATGTTTTGTACTTGAATCGGTGCAGGTTGTGGGATGTTCAAAGTATTCAACGGCTCTGGTTGTGGGATATTCTGCAACTGAATCGGATTTGGTGGCGGAATAGTAGCCAACTCCACTGTAGATATATTGGGTGGAGGAACAGGCGTCACAGCGACATTATTTGCAACTAAAGGAGGTGGTATGTTCACCGCAGTTAGCAGAGGTGTAGAAACCAAAACATTCTGTCCAGGAGGTGCTTGGCTGAGTACCAAAGCACTACTAATCTGACCTTGCACCACTTGAGGAGGTGGGACATTCAACAATACTGGTGGTGCTGTGATCACAGTCTCTTGAGTCTGAGGTTGAACCAGATTCAGAGTTTGCTGAGGAGGCAAATCTGGGTAATTTACAGTTGGTATACTTGTAGGCCTGGGGTTTTTCATTAAAGGCTGGCCAGTGACATTCTGAAGTGAGACTGAGGCAGGGGGGTCAAACCGCTGCTGGTTGGCTATGTTGCTGCTGAATGTGGTGTTTATCGTGATTTTTTGCTCAAAGTTTGAGTTATCGGAAAACCTTGAATTCCGTTTCTGGGGACGATCTTTGGGTGACGGAGAACGCCGACGGGGAGTCCATCTGTTTGATTTGTGTCTGTCATCACTGCAATATGAGAAAAAAGCATTGCTACCATTACTGACTGCAATATGGAAGACCATTTTATGCATAATATTTGTAACAATGTGTGTGACCACACAGGATCTTGGAAGCCATTTAATCTTTCTCTAAAGTGTGACATGGTAAACATTATAATGAATAGAGTGCTACAAAATGGATAATTAGGGCTTTTTCAATCCAAATTCTATGACTACATTGTTTATTGTGATGGACACAACAATATTGACATCCAAGATCATGTAACTTCAACATCCTTACATAGTTTAAAGAGCCATATAAGAATAGCTCTGTTCTCAACTATACCTAAAGATTGTTTTCTGTGACTCAAAGCACATAATCCATACCAATAAACCAGACACAGTAGAAGCCTTAATGTTGTTGCAATTCAGAGATGCCAAATGCTTTAGAAAATGATCAAAAACTGTGCTTCCACATTATGCTTTTTTCATGGCAGTCACAGCACCCAAATCATTGTTTCCATAATCTCAACTATCATATATAACTATTTGGTGAAAGTTATACTGTTTCTAATGAATGTAACATTTGATTCAGTCCCACAATTTGAACTTTTTACAAGGCAATAAGAACTGTGTCACTGACGAATACTCAGATCTAAAATACTTTTTTGGTTTTGATGTAGTGTTTAGGTTCTACAAGACTGAAATTTCTAATAACCTTCACAGTTTCTTATTATTAATAATGTTGATGTTATGGACTTTTTAGTCGAATAACTTAAGCAAAAGAATTATATTCATATGTTTCATTGCTTATTATTGATAGTTACACTTAATATCGATTTATTAATATGCCACATGTTTTAATATTTTTAAAGTACATGGAGGAAATCTATGCAAAGCAAACAGTCAAGTCAAATTTCCTGTTTTTCATCTAAATCATGAATCTTATCGTAAACTTATTTGTTCAATTTTCTCCAATAAAATCGGAAATTGGTTATAGAAGTACCCACATGTTTATTTCTAATATATCAGCCAAATGTCTTTTAGCAACAAAAAAAATTGACACTGCAAGAAATGTGTTTAATTCGATTTCTATATTATCTATATGAACTGCTATTTAACATGTTTAGTATATATTTAAAGGACCTTTTCAGTCAAACAAATGAGAAGGATTGAATCAATGGTTTTGGAGCAAATAAGAAAACTCTTAAAGAAGAGATGTCCAGCTAAGCAGATAAGGCCAGTAAACTTATTTTAGTAGTTAGTGAATATAAAAATAGGCATTTTTATGCATAAATATGTAAATAAAAGCCTTACAGGAATACTGTATAGTATGGTATATATTGAAATAAGCCTGTAAACTAGGGAAGAAATATAGAAACTATAATATATAATGAAGCATTTTAACTAAAATAAGCACGTTTGTAAAAAAATGACCCAAGTTGGTTTTGAAAAGTCTGAACCATGTGTAGATGATATATTTAAAAATGCATTTACCCATAATTCTTTTCAAGATCCCTCAGTCTCCCCAATGACTTCACCTTATTTCCTTCCTTCTTGGTTTCTTTCAACTGCTTGAATTGATTGAGGAATGAGCCATCGTTAGCAAACGGAATCGGCATATCTTTCTCTCCAGTTGTGGTTACTGGTGCACTACAAAATAAGCAATTAGATAAGTCTAATTTCAGCGACAAAATCGTAAAGTCTTTGGGTACCTCTTGCTAGGCGGTTTAACCGATGTGTCTAGTTTGCTTTTAACATCAAGCAATTTGTTTGCTAACTTATCTTTTGCTTCAAATTTGGCCAATATCTCCCGTTTCTTCTGCTCAATCAGCCTTTCCTGCTGGGTCATCTGTTGGAAGCGATCGATCCGAGAAGATTTTGGATAAAAGGGATTCTGTTTCGACATTGTTCAGTTGAACCAAACAAACAATAATCACTTCAAATCAACCAAAATGGCACTAGCTCTTCAAATCCCATCATATATTTTTATTCTGAACTATACAAATTCAGCCATCTTAGATTTTGGGTTGACAAGTTGACTTATGACATGACAGCAGACACAATCAAATCCAAGCGAATAACCAAAATTTCTGTGTTATGTGCCGCGGTTATAATATGGTTCAAGATGACACACGGGTTGATGACGTCAGTTACACGAATCGCTTGAACGCGTTGGTTTTAACCGCGGTTTTGTTGCAAGTTGTTTATTTTAGAAAAGCGCGTATATAATCTCTGATTATTTTTATTATCACTTAATAATCGGTGCTTTTTCGTCTACAACTGTATATGGAAAGTTTAAATAAGAAACCTTTCATAATATTCATGGAGAAATGTTGTTTTTTTCAGATTTTTTTTTTAATGATCTAACCATGGCTTTGTAGCTATGATAACTTTCAATTCTCTAAATTTTTCCACATGTCAAAGAAAACATTTATTGATTCAGCAGAAATGATGAAAAAAGAAATTAGCAAAACCGTATACAGGTGGATATCATCTAGTGAGTTTATATGGCCATATTTTAATATTCTTGTGGTATATGGCTACACAGGATACTTTGTTAAGCATAGGAACTACATTTAAAGTATCCCCAACAACCGTAATGAGTATAACTAATAAGGTGCTCCACTTTATGGTAAAACTGAAGTCAGCCTATATCGTTTTTCTCAAAAATGAAGCTGAAGTACAATAACAATATCCAATACCCGGCAAAATTCTAACTTGTCACATTTCAAATAATAACCAGAAATATAAAACTACTCTTGAGTTGGGTAAATACCACAATTTTGCGGTGATAACTATGACATATAACAGCTGATTCGTGACGTCACGGATCTTATAACCAAACTGATAACTACACTCGCTTGAACGGATTGGTAAATACCAACCCAAAATGGTAAATACCATTTCCATTTGGTTATCCGCTTGAATTTGATTACAGACCACGATGAGAGATGTAACCATTGGTAACAAAAAGACTTATGTCAGCCTTTAGTCTTAGTAGAGATGAGCGAGATTAAAGCCGTATTTTGTGCAAATGGTCAACTAGAACTTCACAGTCTTCCATTTGAGTGTCTTCAGAATTATGTTTCCAATAAAAAAAGAAAACTGACACTGGAAAAATTGTTCATTTCTTACGCTTTCGTTACTTACGGACTTACCAAACTGTAACATGAATTTGATATATGTACTATCAAAAATAATTTGATAGCCCGTCTCTATACGATGCTTGTGAACGGTGTGAACAAAAAAGTAACTGACGAAATTCCCCTTTATTGACTGTTGGCTACCCTGCTAGCAAAAATTTCGTCGTTTCAATTTTTGAAGCAGCCAAACGGAAAAAGCACAAAATATATACACTGTGGAAAGCTGTTTCTTCTCTTTCTCTACTTTATTTCAAGAGATTCGTAATTTTTATTTGTTTTTCACTGATTAAGGGAAGGACAACGGATATTTGGAAACGGGCAAATAAATCTCTTGACAGCTAAATATAGACGACATGCAAAAATTTTTGAAAAGTGTCCTTACAGGATATTTGATCCTTTACTTTATTATTTACCTTGTGTTATTGTTGGTTCTAATTTACATTTACAATCTGTTAACAGCTCAAAAAGACGAATGGACGTGAAATTTTGTAATTGAGGTAAGTCAATTTAATAATCCATTTTCCAAAAATGTATATCATGCGCCATACGGCACCGAAATTATCAATTTTTCAATGATGGAAACCCTGAAAAAATGCCAAAAGTCGGTGTGCCTAGGCAACGAAACAATCAACAATCAGTTGATTATTTGATTAAGACAATTTAGTTGTCTTTTTTTGGATGTTCAAAAATAGATCAAATTTGATGAATTAATGGCCTAAGGTAAATTCCCATTGCATGTGAGAAGAAAACCCTGAACAAACTGATACTTTTCAGGATTTTGGACCCGAAGTAGAAAAACAATTCTTTGATCTACACTGGAGAAGAAAATTTCGGCAGCAAGATGGAGTCACTCTGTGAGTCCAAATACTTATATAATTGTTTAGTTGTAGAAGTACGCTATACATTACTAATTAGTATTTATGCACAAAGTAATGTTATCGTATTTTGGCGAAAATACATGGTAATATTTTTATATAATTTGAGAAAATAATCCATATATCTATTTAGACTTCTTTGAATACTGAATCAGTGCTCTTCAATATGTTTCATCTTCTCACATTATACTGATTGACATATTTTGCCAAATTCACAACAGAGTTTGGTTGTCATAAAGGATGGCAGAAATGCTTGTAAATCTATTCAGTTTATTACTATTCTTCCAAATCATTTAGATCTACCTATCATCTTTATCAGTTTATGTGGACTGATAAATTAAGAGGGATCTTTGTGATCTGTATCTTTACCTGTAGTAGCATTTTGCTCATCGATTGAATTTCTATTACCTTTAGAGATCGGTACTCGCTACCGCGTGCCGTCGTTCGTGAGGCTGACGAGTGTAGTGGCCTGCGGGGAAAGTGCACGTTTTAAATATAGCCTATATATCTGTAGTCACTGTTTTTGGCGGTTACATCATCAACGTCATATGAAATAAGTAAACAGATCGAGTCTCTGTACGGGCGGAACACTGCGCAGACTAATCTTCAGCGCATCTGCTACTCTCTCCAGTACGCATGAAGAGCAGTCGGCCTTCTCCATTGATCGTGTTTCCGGGCATTGTACAATTTTATATTGAAGATTTAGAACAGGTCAACCCAAATTGCACGCCGATGTCAAGTATGTTGTCACTCTGACAAATATGATTGAATACCACTCATACGTAACGACAAAGTTTTCGAGACGAAACAATCAAAAACGTATGTCGTTGAGCCTACCGGGCAAACGTTCACACACAGTGATAGGTTGCATGTGTATGTATGAGGGAGATAGAGGTATATAAAGGGATACTGGCAGTCTTACTTTTACTCGTCAAGAACGGTGACTACAACTATACGTGCGCCTATACTCGAATGTCAAACCCGTTCATAGCCTCGAGATTTGAGAGGCTAAGTATTAGATATATGTTGTGGTATAGATTTTGTGGTTGTAATTGACCTTCTAAGTGGTGGAACGTCTTCAATGAATGTTTAGATTCCATTCAGTGGTTCTCCATCCCGGTCCCCTTCCATGCCGCCCTTATAACCCCATGGTATCCACTGGTATAGCGCCACGGTAATTACTTGTATAACATTGTGTATAACACCATGTATCCACTGGTTTTGGACCTTCATGATGCCAACTATTGATTATAAGGGAAATTCTTTTTTCCTTGTTTCAACAATATGTATAACATGTGTAATAAAATGTGTAATATTTGTAAAAAACATTTATTCATAAAAAACATGGACAATTCTATATATGGACGGAAAGTTATAATAATATTATAGAACAGAAGACTATTTTTGTGCCATTACCAAAATACTGATTCATGTCTTATAACAATAAAATCAGTAAATAAAAGAGAAATTTATTTATTCTATGGATTCTAAAGATAAATACATTTGATTTATAAGATGCACACAGTACAAAATTTGGTACAAATACCTATCAAGTTCAGTTTTCAGGTAAATATATTTCTTTAATATAGTTCTTTTTAACATTTTGATATCTTGCTTTTTGAATAATATATCCTGTAGAAGTATTTATCTATTCTACGCTTACTTTTAATCAGATCCTAATTCACAAAACAAACAACATATTTATATACATTTCATTTGTACATATAGGTATCATTGCATCTTTGTCATACAGTACGATTGTATATCTAAAATACTAATAAAAATAACTTTTAAAGTCGAAGTTTTAGTAACAAAATGCAACAAAACCAAAATATATGTATAGCAATATAAAGTACATGTCTGGACGGTAAAAATATCAAAATAAAACTCTTTCAAGGCACTATATTCCATACAAGGCCCTTCAAAGTCAGATCTATCAAGTGTTTAATGCAGATTAATATCCAAGAGAGACTTTGCGTCACTTCCTTACACGACAATATGCCAAAATCCGGGAAATTGAGTTTTCAATTACTTCGAGATCAACAAGTAGTAGATGAAAGATGACTAATATTTTGCAAATACAACTTTGAAACGTATGTTGCAAAAGGTAAATGATACAAGGAATCAGGGATGCAAAAATATAAAAGCAATTACTAATTCCTCAGATGTCTTGACATTCCAGATTAAGACAAAAGTGAAAAGAGATTCTAAACTCGTTGAGAAAGATGACAAATGGCTTTTCGACGTTTCAGTCAAACATACACGATTCCACCTTTCTACTACTTATTGCGGAGATAATTTTGCTAATTTTCCTGGACAACTATTACATAAGTGAGATCTACCTGTGACCATACACTCCAAAACAAACCATAACCAACAGCAACACTGTGATTAAACTGGCCTGTATGCTACTGGCTCCAGCTAATCTGCATTTAAACATGTCAAAACGGGTTTCGTTGTTATCGACCAGATTGCTGAATTCTGCTTCTACCAGTTGACCATCATAGTAGGTAATTGGGTCTTCAAATGGATATTCAAAGCCTTGCTTACACTCGCACTTGTAGCCTCCTACCTCGTAGCCTCTTCCTAAGATTGGTACACACTAAAAATGAAATGTTATTTAAGAAACCGCTTTTCAAAATGGTTATCTCCAAAACACTCACATAAGATGTTTTCTCGTCACATTTGTGTGTTCCTTTGAAGGCGTTTGTGACGTAATAATCTTCTGGACACTGGTTTATGTCTAGTTTCATTAGGTCCATGGTAACTGCAATCACTCCTCTGTAAGATTACCAAAATTTAGCAAAATCGTTCTAGAAAAAAAAATGCCTTTCATACTTAAACTCGAGTTTGACTTTGAGGCTGTCCCATCCGAAGAAAGGCGCTACATATTTGACTTTCCACATCGGAACTTTGCCGTGGCAGTCAAAATATGGCGCTGTCCAATGTCCGTGTTCTATTCTGGCGCCCATGTAGTAGTTGGGATATCTTTCATACTTCTTGGTAGTTTCACCCGTCTCATTGAAACGAATTCTAAAAAAATTGCATTCCACATCAGAATAATGAGCGATCATTGAATGTAAGACCACTGATTAATGTGCTCTACCTCTCTACCTGGAGATAGCCAAACTAATGGTATGATACCGCGTCCAAAAAATTATCAGATAAAATGATAACCTGTAGTGTCATCTATAATAATTTGTAACAGCCGTTTCTCTGTTTACAATATATACTTTGAAAATGTGTCTCTTAGATGGCGCTGTCTATATGATTCTATACAACAATGTAGCTACAGCGCCATCTATGAGACAATCTTTTCAAAGTGTCCCATTTTAATCTCCCCACAAGGTCATTTGGACGTAAAATTTCCTGCTTTTTCTATTTCCAGTATAAAAAGACAGATGTTTTCTTTGAAAATTTTTACTTGGCCTTGAAGGTCATCTTTAGGTGGTCCCCAAACACCTCACAACTATGCTGACGAACAGTTTTGCTAGAGCAAATTGTTTTTATGTCTTGATATAACCTTGAAATGGCGTTGGCAATAGTCAAGGTCATAGACACGGTGATGCCTAGACGTAAAATTTGCTCATTTTTTCGGAAATACTCACTTAACCTTGAAAGGACCCTACAGGTCGTAGTCAAGGTCATCATCATTTTGCCCTCACAAAACCCTACAACTTTTCTTAGAAATATTTAGATGGAGAGATCAAAATGTATAGTAGATAAAGAGACAGCTGCGTTAACATCTCATTTTATCTGGAATAATTTCTTAGAAATGGGAATGTATTATTAGGTTGGCTGTCTTCAGGCAGAATACGCTAATAATTGGTAACACTCATGCCTGGCATCTTGTCTATCTCTATTGGAGCCATAATATGGTAAAGGAAATTGACTCACCTAATTTTCATCCAGAACTTTTCTAGACTGTCAAAGTTCGAGGCCCATCTGTATTTCAAGAATTTAAACCAGTTTTTATTTAGGTAAACTTCTTCAGATTTGTTCAGTCTTGCCAAATCTTCCAAGAAGAATTTTCTGGTGTTCAGTATCTTTTTATAAGCAAATGGTGCGAATAGTGTACGGTTCGTAAATTTATTTCTCTCCCAATACATTCCCGCCGACCAAATCCGGCTATTACCTGAAATGAAATGAATTTTGTTATCATATTGCGATTGAGTCTTCTATTCGTTTTAGTAGATAGAGCCTGCACAAATTATATGACTTACCTAAAACTAAAGCTAGTGTTTCACCAAACATCTGGTCCTCGGTCAATGGTTTGTCTGCAACTCTCTTCCCTGAAAACACCTCTTTAGGGTCAGACACTTGCAAGAAGGCACTTATGAAATTGGCCAATCTTAGCGCCATTTTGGCTTCATTTTCAAAGAATTCCTCGGCGCCGTACATGGAACCACCATGTAAAAGGAGCTCCTAAAAATTGCAAAGGTGGCAAATTAAAACATTGAAAAGCTATTCATTATTGTTCAACCTACCTCAGGTCTATAGTTTTTGCAGTTGTCCTTATTCATTCCCAAAATGAAATCTAAGGCACGATGTATATTTAATTTACGAGAATAGAAGGTACTTGGTCCAGTAGTTTCATTACGATACTCTTTGTATTTGTCGAGATAATATTCTCTAGTGTACCAATCAGCCTTCTCCCATTTCACAGGCAATTTTTGTATCCCTGGAATGACATTACTTTCAAAATGAAGTAATTTTGAGTAATAAATTATCCCTACATATAATAAAAGAGAAATTTTGGATGTTACTTGATCACGTCAAAATGGCTGAACGCATCTGGATAGGCATAGGCCATCGAAAAGGTCGCACCCCCATTAATGCCTCTCCTGGTATATTTTGGGGAAAACACTCAGACACGTCAATTTTGATTTCTAGAGGGCGCCTTTTCATCTATAGACGTACAATACAGGGTGATCCAAAATTTAGATGTTTAATTCGTTGGGTCACTCTGTATACGTTCGTTTTTGATGATAACTGTCGGCATGTTGTAACTCAAATCAACATTCTTTTTTTAGGACAAGTATACTGGACAGGTGTCAAATTTTAAAGTTTTGTGAGAGATGTATATGAGAATTGGTGCTTACATCCAATTTTCAGACAGTCAAATCCATTATAATACTGTTCAGCAGTGGCTCTCTCCACAATTTCTCCCAAAAATGGTCTTCTTGTTTGTAAAGGTAATCTATTTCCTGGTCTACATCTGCATTGGTATCCCCCTCTTCTGAATCCCCACCCATGAATTGGTTCACACTGGAAATTCGTATTTGATAACACAAAGAGATATATGTAGTATATCTAATTGTGGATAAATATGTAACTGGAAATTTGTTATTGATCTACTGAAAAACCGTGCTGCATACCTCAGTCGTTTCCTTTTTACATTTTGCTGTATCGGCGAATATGTTAGGGCCGTTGTTACCCATTCCTGGAGGACACTGATTGATGTCTATACGTTCATAGTCCATTTCAACAACAGCAGCCGCGGTGTAGCTGAAAGTAGGGAGTCAAAGGTGAGACGAGTGACAGTCTGAGATACAATTTCGTCAAAATCTTCGCGCACATAACCACTCACAACACGCTTAGCAGTAACGAAAACAGATTGTACGTCGTGTTTTACTGGTCGGTACGACCGCTACTTTGTTCCCAGGGTATCAAGATTGAGGTTGTTTTTCCGTTATATCAATCTTAGGCAGTTCAAAAATCGGATTAACTCCTCATAGCAGTCTCGATATTTAGGTTTCTGCCTACACGGCTGAATCAATACATACAATCTCTAATTTCGAAACGAAATAGAGAAATATTATCCAGATTTGCAATGTATTTTTAATGCTTCTCAAATTACATACAGTCAGTTTTGAACATTTCTATTAATTTTTCTTACATCAATATGATGAAAACCACAATTTATCTAATTTCTAGCTACATATTTCAAAAACGAGATGTTTGGTTTTTTTGTCAACTTTTGATGCCCTTCATATGAACAGTTTTTTTAGCATTTAAAATTATGAATTTGTTAATGATATAAATTGAGATACCATGAGACATTTATCATTTATATGAATTTTTCAGGAGCAAAACATGCCTTTAACATATACAAATTTAAGGCATTTGTATAAATCATGACCAAATGCTAGTAATCACGCTTTCAGTATTTATAACTTACTATTCCCATAGTGCCCTAACTGTGGATAACAGTTCTAACCGCCAAAATTAAACCATTGGTACAGAACAATAATCTCGCTAATTTTTATAACCTTTAACTGCTATAAAAATGTTATGAGCAGACAGAACTCAAAGGCATTTCTTTTAATTAAAGCTTTTAAACACAACAGATGTTTTTGATGCATAGGTATCATTAATGACAGACAGAGGATGAGTGATATGAAAATGACTCTGGCATCTGGCTCTTTATTATGCTAATAGGTTTCAAATGGGCACTAGCATTTGGGGGCCGCACTTATCAAGCTTAGTAGCCCACAGACATGCACTATTGTAGTTAATCCAAGTGGTCTGGCTTTCCTTGATGATTTAATAATTTACTTACAATTATTCATTATAGAATGATGATTATTAGTGAGAGGAATCTATTGATTTATGAGTCAAAACACAGGACAACTGAAACAGTATTTACTGTTTATATGGACCAATCATAGTAATTTCGCCTCAATGATGACCCTGTTTTGATGAAACTTTTTACGCATACTAGCTGAGGCACAAACATCGGAGAAATAGTCAAATTCCACCAACCAAACGTCCGATTTGCGTTTCAACTCAAGAACCTTAGTAGTAATGTAGTAGTAATAGAAAAGTGCAGCCCGGAAATTAGCCCCTTTTCGCGTATAATAATCTTGCATCATTTGAAAGGTGAAAAGACACGATAAGATCATATAAATTTATGAGGTATCACACAAACTCACAATCAAAATGTAAATTGATGGATGGACAGAAGCTGAGATGTGTAAGGTAACAAAAGCATGTTTCTTTGCATAAATGGCGCTTCCGGATATTGTGTATTGATCATAATCCTTGTGAGTTCACTTGACGCGACAATCATGTGTTTTTACCTAAATGGGTATGGAGAGGTGGTTAAGACTTACGTTGGATATTCGATATGCCTGAACCCTGTATGCCGGGGATAAATGTCTGCAATAGGTACAACAGCAGCCACAAGCCATCTGTTTGACCGCCCGCAGTCAAAATATGGTCTGGTGAATTTGACTGGCCCCGGGTGTTCATCGGCTCCTGGTGGGCCGTGGAATGTAAATGTTTCGTTTGTATTGTTGGCATATCGTATCTCAACCTTAAAAATTATGTTAAGATTACATCATTAATCGATTTTGTATTGGACTTCAAATTCTTGGGCATCAACGTTCGCGTTCATCAGATCAATGGTGGTGCTTGAATGATGAGTGACAAATGCTTATACAGAGAGATCCATACATCACTGATGTCGTGATGTGTACGAGAGAGAAGCGCGAGAATCATGCGATACTTAGAGATACAGCACGACGTTGTCTAGCAACCTGAGTGATATGGCCACTAACGGCTTGCCGCGTTGCCATCGGCGCACTTTTTCTAACATACATATTGCACGCTTCTCGTCACTCGGGATGCTAGGCGACGTGGTGCTTCTATCTCTTTTTAACTTACTTATTGCACACTTCTCTCTTGTACACATTACGACGTCAGTGGTATATGGATATCCCTGAATACTTTGAAAATGTACTCCATAACGTGTTTCAAAAAGCATATGCATATATGTTTATTAAATACCTGAGCGCCCAGAAAAATTGACAACTACACGTTTTTTTGAAAAGAGGTTTCAAGGAAAGTTTCAGGGTATCAAAAAAGCAATTTATCGATGACTGTAGATGTGACCTAAACGTCCTAGTCAATGAACTCAGAGGTCATTTGAAGGTCAACTTTGTCAATTCAAATAGCAACCACCTTTGTTGACAGCAAATTTGTGTCAAGTTTGAGATTCACATCAGATACCTTTTCCATTCATGAGGTCATTAGTCATTCTTAATGTGTACATCTTAAAAGTAGAGGAACCATGGGTGTATGCTGACAGGTGCCAGTAGGGGCCAAACATTTTTTGGGGCAGGTACACTTTTACAAAAATTTGTCCCTTTCCAGCAATCAACCCCTCCTGTATCTCTGAGGTCATGGTCTAGAACATACTTGAGGTCACAGACAAATTGCTTATTATACCCTGAAACTTTTCTCTAAACCTTATTTATTTATGGGGTGTTTGTGTACTTTTTAGGTGTCACAGTAGGTCATGCTTATTAGTCCACTTATGGCTGCTAGACCTCAAAATGAATTCTTATGTAGAATTTCAAGCTCAACAACAATCTGTTAAAAATGATTAGAGCATATTTGAGGTCATTGACAAATTGCTGTTTTGATACACTGGAGCTTTTGAATTGTTTTTCCAGAAAATCCATGGTTGCCAAGATTTCAGGACTCTAATAGATATACATTAGCTGAGATGCTCCCTGCTAATAAAAATATTCTGTGGGAATATGGTGTATGATATGCATCATATGCTTGTTTTTATACATGTGCTATTTTGAGGAGTATGTGTAGATGTCAATATCAGGGATTGCTTGAGTTACAGGTGGTTCTGTCTGACAATCAATTTCTGATAGTCCAGAATGGTCACTTTGTCATTTACAGTGGAAAAAATCAATTCTGCTCATAATTATTCAATTTTGTATCATTAATTTGTTTGGATGACAGTCTCTGATAGTAAGAAATTTCTTGGTGGAAGTAACCGATTATTGGTTTGATGGATGCTTTCAGATTTTTTTTCATCAAACATAATTTTCTAGAAAATAATTTCAAACTATCTTACCTGATATGTTGTCTTGGTATCATGTCTTCCAGCTACTAAGTCTGGCAACCATGACTTATACCACTCATTTATCCTATAATAATCTGATGTATAATCACCACTTGTGTCAGGATGAATAGCACCCAAGTCATTGACTGTGAATGTATTTAGTGTGGAGATTCTTTCTAAATGTATGGGGTCATTGAAATCATCTGCTCTGAATGTACGAGGTGCAAACCTGAGATGAAATCACATATATTAATTTTCCCATTCACCTGAACATTTTCACTGACAAATTACATTTTGGGATCACTTCAGTATCTCTATATTCTGATAAATGCAATCAATGTTTGAGAGGTACTATGCCTAACAGTTTGTTATATTTGCTAGTCCTTCTAACAGCTAAGATGCAGAGATGCGAAGCTTACAAAAACTTGTATTTTGATCATTCATGTGTGTGTGTAACATAGTACTGATTTAAATTAACATACATGATCTTTATAAGAATAACAATTGAAGATTGCTTACCTAGGAAATGTCTTGTTGAAGAATCCTCTGTACGAGCTAGAATAGGACATGTTAGGCGCAAAATAGATAGCACTAGCATTGATATGCTTGTTGGTGGAGACATCAGCAACAGTAGACAGAAAGTAGTACATCATACCAGGATCATAAGTATCATTAATAGCAGGTCGTATGAACCTGCTTTGGAGTATGTATGACCAAAAGAAGGCTCTGTTCAGTGCCATGTTATGCATGTGCAACAGCTGAGTCCTATTTGGGAACACTGGATTGATGTTTACATCCTTGATATCCGGCAAGTGGGATACAGAGTCTTCAGGCAGGTACAGTTCGTTTACATGTTGAATCTCGCAGTTATCCTTGTTGACCAGTTGCATTGCTCTGGACACCAGGTCGAAATTGTCCAAGGGTTGCCATTCGTACTGGCCAGTCACACCCACGGTCAGCAAACACAGGATAAACGCACCCAAATTATACATTTCTGTTGTAAAAAGCCTTCAGGTATCACAGAGACATGTTCACAAAGGATTTATTTATAGTGGTTTTTAAAATATAACGTAACAAACGCAGGTATACAATCGTACGGGGTTGGATAGGTCTATTATGGGTGGGAGAAGAATGGATGGTTCACCTGCTGTGTAGGTTGATGGGCGTTGTTTTTGTTCGGTTGGGTGACTCGTCGGGCTGCTAGCTGCAAACAAGTGGTTATTTATATTTACATATTTGACGTCGTCTCCCAGGCAACCAGGTATACAGTAGATTAAAGCTTTGGTATAATTGTGGTTGCATAGCCGTCATTACCGTAGAAATTGTTTTTGGCATTGCCTAAAAATTGATGTGGATGTCGTTCAACCATCTGTTGTTAAGTACCATTGAAGACATCTGATACTTGAAAGAATGAAAGGCAAAGTTTGAAATTTAAAACTGTATGTTGTTCTAGAATGTTTATAAAAGCACTTAGCTGGTTGAAAAACGTACAAACTGAAAAATAAATTCGTCATTTCAGAAATCAAAATCTTTTCCAATAAACTTCCCCACTACAGTTAAAAACGTCATGGAAATTTTGTAAAACAAAATGAAGAACTTGGAGACGGTCTGGAAATCCTAGTTTTTCTTTCAGAATTCGTCTATTTATGCTCACACTGGACCCTTAAGTGCTCAGGCCCCTGGCTACAATTTTCTATAACGGTAAAGTATTAGGGCCCCATAGGCTCCGAGCATCAGGTGTGTCCAGAGGTTCCCACATATAGCTTAGCTATATATAGCACTCGCATAACATATACACGTCACTGACTGCCGCCACAAGACCGATTTTCTAAACCACGAAGTTTTTTGTCATTGATATAGCGTAAATAGGGTGCTCCAAAATAAGGTAGCAACGTTTCCAATTCATATAGACACACATAAAATGTTATGCGGAGCACCCGATGCTCTTCATCAAACTTGAGACGGAGCTCAGTCATATTATCGTTTAAAGTTAAAATATTTTTAAATTCTTAGTTCGTCATTAACGGATGATCAGAAACTCGTTTTGAAAAATGTAATTTTTCCAGTAACTTTTATCTGATCTACGTGAATTTTAAAAGCACCTATCACTTTATTTATGAGCTTTGGATCGATATAAACGATATAAATGTCAATACGGGAGACGTACTTTGCCCCTCAGAGCTCTCTCATGATGCCACTGCGCGATGTGCCTGCCAGACAGACCCGCCTGACTTAGGCCTCCCAATCTAACCGTGTCGAACTCCGTACATCCAGAACTGGCCGATATGACCGCTCATTTGTCCCTAAGTTATCAAGATTGTGGATCAATCTGCCTGGAGCTTTTGCCAGTCCTACTAACCTAGGGCAGTTCAAAAATCGGAACAACAAAGTTCCTTACATCTAGACCTTAAAACGATACTGAAGCTCCTCCGTCTCAAGTTTTCGTAGGAAAGCCTGTTACGTTATAACATAATGAAGACAACACGCTTTTATTTGAAAACTTGAGACGAAGATTATTAGATACGGATCCCCGCAATGTTTTAAAAAGCAAAAAAATATTTGTAAGCATAAGGTTCAAGTCCGGGACTTCATTCAACAACGCCAACCATCCTCAGATGCCCGGACTCGGGACATTCCCCTTTTTAGGTCTCCTCGAGTTCAATTCCAAGCCAGCAGTTCACAATATCTGTAGGTCTGCATAAAATATACCCAATTCGACAACACCGCACAAAGTGCATTATGTTTGCAAGCTTTGCATTGCACGCCGGCGCGTTGCCCGGGATGCCGCCGCGTCGCGCCGCGGGCCACATTTCACCGGGCCCCTGTCTAGCCGATGATGAAGCAAGAGATTGTGTGGAGACAAGGCGCGCGGCCCGCATTGCCACGTTGCATGGTGATTATCCAGATTGCAGAATTCGCATTTTCACGTTCGAATACGATTTGCGCAGGCATAAGATGTAGAGAGCCTAAGGATAATTTAAAAAACTGTGGTGTGATTAGAGATATATTTGAAGAAGCTCCAAAACAAAATGAAATTCGGGATACGAAGTTCAAATTTTGTCATTGTTATTCAATCAACTCTTAAAAACAATTTTCAGGGAGGGTTATGTTAGTCTGCTAAAATAAAAATTTGTCTGTAGTAACCTATCAAGCAAGGTTAAAATTTCTTTAAAATAAACTAAGTCACAAATACCCTCGGGGCTCATTCGTCGGGTTCTTATATGGAAATAGAAGTGTTTGAACTTTCATTAAGACACTTAAAAATCGCAAAAAATAGGTTTTCAAGCACTGAAATGCGCATCTCACGGGTTTTCAGACATTAAATCGCTTATAATTTGAAAACGGCCACCTTTATAAAAAAGTTACTATGCACCTTTTTTGTTCAGAATGAAGTGTAAAATCTAAATTTATTTAAACATGTGTATGCCTGGACATCAGAAAAACGTGAATATGAAAAAAATAATAGGTTTATTTCTCGGTTGTAAGGTTTTTGTCTCGACGCTGCACAAAATCAAATGATATCGTGGAAGCCATTAATTGCTCAGGTTATTCCCGAAGATGACGTTATGTGATTAAATTATGCGATTGCTCTAGTTACATTATGTTGGCTGCAGAAGCATACGATTTAATGAAATAATCTAGAAAATATTATGATGACTGACGAAGCCATAAACCATAACCAAAAAGGGATATATCGCACAATTCGATTGTCCCGACTATCTTTTGGCGGCGTGATTTTACCGGAAAACGAATAAGTTCGTAATGTAATTTCCAGTTTGCTGTTGTTTTGAGTCATCATGATTATCTTTCGTGAACAACCAGACCCTTGAATGGCAAAAGCGAATTTAAATTGTCTAACCCCAATACCCTGCTTACCTAGTCTTAAAAATCTCGCGAAAGGTACGAGAAACCATCGCCTTCCAAATTGTGGACTCATATGATAGGATGTGGTAAAATGTCCTTTAGGCAAAAACGTCAAAGGACATACACTTATATTTTACTTGACTCTGTTAAATGTGTCTTTGGACACAACACCCTGAAAAGCCTAACTTGTTTGCTGGACTGTTTGTTCTTTAAATAACAAAACGAGTTTTTGATCTTTCTTTGACATCCAAAAGAAAATAAAGCTCCAAGGGACGAACATTTTTCTCCCCTACATCGGGAACAGTCAGGTTCATCGTGGCAACGAACACCCTGATTAGAAAAATCAACGATTTCTCGAGGATCTTTTGCCACCCCACCAGCTTAAAGTATGAATATCAATGATTTGATTTTGTCTAACTACTCGCAGTCGCAGAATCTTAGTCCGCTGTAAATTACCATTTCGGGATTATCAGGAATTCATTGTTATAAAAAACCGTATAGCTTTTTCCCTCTGCATCGGAATCTGTACATCTTTATCGTGAAACGTAATTTTTGTTGATCGGGCTGATGGTGCATTGATGAATGTTAATATTTATTGATGTACAAATCCACCGACAAAAACTAATCTCCAAAAGATTAATGATCAACTAATTTGAGGTTCAACTCATGGCTTCAATAGCAAAAAAGCTGAGCGTTATAACTTTTACCTATGTGGTATTTGTGGTGCCAACATTCTGAACTATACTAAGTGACATATAAATCCGAACACCCAGTTTAAATGGTTTTATTTTAATAAAAGTTGGTGAATGTATTTATCTTACTGTAAATAACAATTGAAAAAATGTTCAGTCTTATCAGTTGGACATTCCTGTTTTTATACTGCTTTTTTTTAATTCACTAACGCTCTAAAAATGAATATTTCAGCCGCAGTAAAGAATCAACGTTGGCGGATTTTGGTTCTTGACATCCTTTACGATCGGTTACGATGCCTAGAGTACGGAGACCTGTACGATTTCGTCAAATTAGTGAGTTTGATAGGGGCCGTATAGTGGGACTTCGGGAAGCTGGACTTTCTTTTCGGGCAATTGCAGTTAGAGTGCAAAGAAGTGTAGACACTGTGGTTAGGTGTTGTCAGGCATAGCTTCGAGAAGGCCGTACGCAAAGAGCAAGGGGCACTGGACGCCGCCGTAGAACAACAGACCGTGAAGATCGCCGCCTAAGATTATTGGCCTTAAGGGACCGTTTCTCCACTACCAGGTCCATGGCAAATGAATGGTTTGCAGAACACAGAAGACCTATTGGCATGCGCAGTGTTTACCGACGAATGAGAAGTTTTGGCTTGTTTTCATACCGGCCACACTGGGTCCTCCCTTTAACTCGAGAACACCGACGTAATCGCCTTGAGTGGTGCAGACAACGGTCACTCTGGGATCAGGAATGGAACAGTATTGTCTTTAGTGACGAGTCTCGGTTTTGTTTAGGCATGCACGATGGTCGTGCCAGGGTTAGAAGGCGACGTGGTGAAAGGAGGAATCCACAGTTTTTTGTTGAAAGACATGTTCATCACACTGTTGGAGTTATGGTTTGGGGTGCTATAGCTTATGGTTCCAGGTCACCTTTAATCTTCATCAGAGGTAACATGAACGCGCAGCGTTATATCCACGAAGTTCTAGAACCCCATCTTTTACCCTATCTTGACACCCTGGCAGATCCAACTTTCCAACAAGATAATGCCCGACCACATGTTACAAGAGTCACAATAGACTTCTTTCAACATAATGATGTCACATTGTTACCATGGCCACCAAGATCTCCCGACTTATCCCCAATTGAGCACGTGTGGGATATGATGGGTAGGAGATTGCTCAATTTGCATCGTCCTCCTCAGACTCTAGAAGCACTTCGAGAGGAGTTGGTGGTTGCCTGGAATGAGATACCACAGGAGGACATTGACCACCTGATCAGAAGCATGCCTAGGCGCGTTGGAGAATGCGTAGCATATCAGGGTGCATCCACACATTATTAAAGGTCAAAGGGCTTTAAAGCAGTGCAATCATTTTGAAATTTTTATCATTTACTTATTATGCTTCATTAAGTACTTATATAAAATTTTATTAAAATAAAACCATTTAAACTGGGTGTTCGGATTTATATGTCACTTAGTATATGTAGCATTCGCCTCCGACGTTATATTTATGAACATTAATTACTATCTAGATTACATTTATGTAGGTCACTACAAAATATGATTGATTTCAACACTAAGTTATAAAAATTAAGACAGTCTTATCGTTAATCAAGTACAATTCTCAAAAAAAATGCTGTGAGCCATTAAAGGTATACTGCGGATTCTGAAACATTATAGGTATTATCTCGCATCGACTGATGACTCACTTTTGTTTCCAAAGGCAACTTGATATTATTTAGTGTTTGTTAAAATCAAAGCCAATGAATGTTGTGCCAAAACTTCTAGGACATACGGTAATAGCAGGCAGTGCTA